TGATATACCTCTTGTTGAGCAGGCCAGTGAGCCTACACCTATACCTAGTCAGCGGGCTCCACCACGCTGCAGTGCGTGTTGGACTATTGGACATACTAGAAGGAATTGTCCTAATATATAGCTATATATTCAGCTACTAGATAGTCAAGTCTAATGATGTTGGTGGTTGAAAAGCTTCAAATTAGTATTAGAAGCGGCAAAAATTCGTCGCTCGGGGGTATTCGTCGCTCGGTGGTTGATTACGTTAACTATTATTAGTAGCACATCTTACGGAGTACAAAATTATGCAGGGAATTTTTTTTTTCTCCTCATGCGGGGATTTCTTTCTCCTCATGAGGGGATCAAACCAGTTCTGCTATGGCTGTTCCACCGACCACTGTTGATGCTATTCAGGCTCCTTTCGCAGTAAACACCTACGTTGAGGCATTTCCCGTACTATCACCAATGCTCCGGCCGAATCTCGTCAGATTCTGCACGGAAGTCGGCAAAGATGGGAAAATACAAAGATATAAAATCACCCATGTGCCTGATCATTCTCTGCTCGTTATTCAACACACACTTCAAGCCATCTAGGCATTAATCAAAGCGCAACCTTAACATCTCTTCCGTCATCAAAAACAAGCCCTGACAATGGCGACCGTTTCCAACGGCTCTGAGTTTGACTTCATCGTCGTCGGCGGTGGCACGGCCGGCAATGCTGTTGCTGGTCGTCTCGCTGAGAACCCCGACGTCCGGATCCTGGTGGTTGAAGCTGGGATCCCCAATCCAGACCAAATTGAACAGATCACCACGCCGTCAAAAGCTTTTACCCTGCGAGGAAGCAAGTATGATTGGGCCTACAAGACAACAATGATCAAGCGTGATGACTACGAACGCGTTGAAAAGCCTAACACCCGCGGAAAAGCCCTCGGTGGAAGCACATGTGCCAACTACTTCACCTGGATCCCTGGTTCAAAGCCTACCTTTGACGAGTGGGAGGCGTTTGGCGGCCGGGATTGGAACTGGGAGGGCTGTGTGGAGTACCTGCGCAAGTGCGCCACCTACCACGATGAGGAGAAGCTCTATCCAGCTGAACTGAGCAAGATTGGGACCGGGGGCCCGGTGCAAATCTCCCATGCTGACCTGGTGCCGGAGATGCAGCCCTTCCGTGATGCGCTGACTCAAGCGTGGGTTTCCAAGGGCCAGCCCCTCACTGAGGACATCTTTTCGGGCGAAATGAAAGGGCTTACGCACTGTGTGGACACCATCCACCACGGCGTGCGCCAGGGGAGCTTCCTGTACTTGAAGGACAAGCCCAACGTGACCATCCTATATGGCGTCCACTCGAAGCACCTTATCATCGATCCTGTAACCCGCATCTGCTCCGGCGTCACCGTCATCAGCGAAGCTTACAACACTGAGATCAGTGTCTATGCCAGCCGGGAAGTCATTGTGTCACAGGGCGTGTTTGAGACGCCTAAGCTGCTCATGCTGAGCGGCATTGGCCCAACCGCAGAACTTGCCAAGCACCAGATCAGCCAAATTATTGAATCTCCCCATGTCGGGCAGCATCTCCTCGACCATCCCATTGTGCCTTTCGTCCTTGAGCTCAAGGAGGGATACGGCCTGGATGACCACGTCCTCCGCCCTGGTCCTCTCAACGACAAAGCGCTGGCTGCTTACCAGCGTGACAAGACGGGTCCTGCCAGCTCCGGGTTTCTGGAGCTGGTCGGCTTCCCTCGTATCGATGAGCGACTAGAGCAGTATCCAGCCTACCGCGAGGCCAAGGCCGCCAACGGCGGACTAGATCCCTTTGGGCCCGCAGGTCAACCTCACTTTGAGCTTGATTTCGTCGGTCTATTCAGCACGGCTTTCCAGTGGCACTTCCCCATGCCAGAGCAGGGTAACTATATGACTGTCATTGTGGATCTTCTGCGGCCCCTGTCTGAGGGCGAGGTGACGCTGAACAGCGCGAACGCGCTGGTCCAGCCCCACATCAACCTCAACTTCTTCGGAAACGACTTGGATATTCTGGCCATGCGGGAGGGTGTACGCTGGACCTACGATGTTTTGACTACAGGTGCTGGGTTCAAGGACATCATCGTCCGGGAGTACCCGTGGAAGATGCCTCTGCATTCCGATGAGCAGATGGACAAGGCAATTCTGGAACGAAGCCAGACTGGATTCCGTAAGTGCGCTCTTGCTCCCCGATAAATGCCATGATACTGATGAGATCCCCTCTGGCAGACCCCTGCGGTACTGCACGGCTCTCAAAGAGCATCCATCAAGGTGTGGTGGACTCGAAGCTCCGCGTCCATGGGGTGCGTAACCTCAGGATTGCTGATGCCTCCATTATCCCTGTAATTCCAGACTGCCGTATCCAGAACTCGGTATACATGATTGGCGAGAAGGTGAGCAGCATGGCGAGCTTAGTTGTATTCTATGACAAAGGCTAACCCGTGTACTAGTGCGCCGACATTATCAAATCCGAGCACAAGGACCTGTACGAGGCAAAGAACGTTCCTTATTTTGTCCCGAGCAAGCTGTGACGGGCTTCGTGTCCTTGAGTTGACGATTGTGATCCTCCACAGACAGGGTTCTGTGACTCTGTTTGCTCGGACAGAGCGATGAGAGGCTGACGTTCTAATCTGTCCTGTGTCTCATCGCAGTGCATCTGTTAGTTTTTAGATTGCGAAGACAGATTTTCTCAATTCATGGTTTAGATTGAATTCTAATTGTTCATCGTCTTATGGACACGAGGCAAGAAGAGCTTGCGTAGCATGTGAAGTCGAGCTCAAGCTATCCGACAATCCCACTACCAACTAGGAGTCCACTACTACCTTTAAGTAACAGTATGGTAGCACAACAAGTAATAAAAATATAGAATACATCAGGGCAGTAAATGATCCAGACTATCCTATAGTCAGCAGGGCAGTAAATGATCCAGACTATCTTATAGTCAGCAGGGCAGCTAACGGCGCTTGAATTCCCTCCACTTGCAATGGGTGTCGGAATGGGGACAATGCGATGACCTTGAAAATGACGTGTCACCTTGCCATAGGTTTCAAGACAAAAGAGGCGATAGCAGTGGCTACGTTGTGGACCCAATCAGATGCATACAGCAACACCCCTCGTCCTTGACCATCAATGCGCCATACCACACTATATCATTTGCCTCAGAGGTACTACGGTATTTATTGGTCTGTTCAAAGCGGTCAATACCTGACCAGCCAGGGACTTGCCCGCAATAGCACGGATAGGGTCTGAAGCATTGTATGCGAGATTGAACTCGTGAGAGTTTGCAAGCCCAAGCAGCTCCTGCATCACAGCATCGGTCAGGATGCTGGATGCCGGGAAAGTGGTTGTCGAATTATGGATCAAGGCAACATGCAAAAGATCCCAAATCACAAAAGCGTTCTTGTACGACAACTGCTCTGGCTGGAAGGTCTGATTCACTAAAGGTGCGAGGGATTCATACAGTGGCTTGGTAGACCTCAGCAGGCTCTGGTACTCCGCAGAGGAGAAGAAATTGTTGCTACTTATCACGGCCTTGGAGCAGGATATTGTGCTCTGCAGCCATGGGTTGTTCTCACTGTCCTGACCCACCTGGAGCGTCTGGATCGGGATAAGCTGATACCCATTCAGCGGTGCCTGAACGGAGGACCCATTGCGCAACGTCTCTGTTGCCATCGTGGAGCCCACTGGTGGATAGAGGCCTTGCAAGAAAGCAAGGCCCGATGTCTGGATAACATCATCGTCTGGGGCGCTGGCTTCAAGTTGGCCCAACTCGACAAAGTCGGTGCTGATGCCGCTTATCCGGCGGGAGGAGCCAGCGGACACGTAACGCTCACGGAAGTAATTGCCAGTCAAGAACATCTGCGCATATCCAAGGTCTGTAAGCTGTGCTGGAGCGAGAACCTTGTCGCCGTGTCGCTGGAATATGTAGACGCCGAGGACGGTCTCGGTGCGGCCAAGACCTGCCGTACACAGCAGGAGCATGGGCAACAGCATTCTGAAGGACACAGTCATAATGAGTACGTAGTGTGTTAATGAAAATCCTCAATATCGAGATGCAATAACCTGCCCATGGGAAGACGAAGAAGAGTGGATCAAGTTATATGTGCGTGGAGGGGCCCGCGGGAGGCTGTCTTGACCAACAACCCTAGACGGCTTTGTCTATTTCCCCTCATTCGGCTGTCTCCGCAGGACTAGCCCCATCTGCCCTCTGTGTTAAAGGTGTGTAAATCTGTGGCTGCTCATGACGGACATGGGTTTCTCATTTTGTTACTTGGACTGTTCTGTCTACCTCCTGTACGCTTGATCTCAGTGGGTGATTGATCGACAGCTACCTTAGCTACTACGTAGTATTCGTCAAGGCCCCACAAGGTCTGTGCGTTACCCGCAGGGAATAACTGCGGGCCCTTGTGATACGACCGTATGTCTTTATTGGATGTCCTAGGCTTGTATCCGAAACTCTATTAGTTCCATATCAGACTATAGGTGCCACAATCTCAGATTTCGGGAGGGAAAGCTAACTCTAAGTGCACCAAGCGAGATACGCGAAACTTTAGACCGCTTCCCCACTCATCCATTGTTCTCCATGCAAAGTAAATTTATATACCTCTATTTAATTTAAGCCTTCCGGAGATCCCGGGAAGTACACGCCAGCGCGAAACCCTATCCGGTAAGTACTGCTGTCTGTGACCCTCACTGATGCAACATCCTGTGGCCCAGACCCTTTCAGTCCTCTGCTGTCAATGCCCATGCTAGAAAGGGTGAGTTGGCGGGGTGCGTTGGCATGAAGCGGGGTTGTCCCAATCATATGGCTTTGGTTCTACGATAACTGCTCCCCAGTCTCGACAGGCTTACTGAGAGCTTCTTCTGCCATGAAATATAAGAGTGGAGTCTTGACTGAATTACGGGGAAACATCAACGTCATCTATGACCAAAGGAAAAGCCTTATCTAAGGGGATCATATTATCGGTAACGTCTCTGACTCGTCCGATCAATCATGTCTGCTACCACAATTACCTCCCGGAGGGCTGTAACCACCACCACATTGACCGGCCAGCCTCGGGTTTTCTCTGTTTCAAAATCTTCGTCACATACGGTTTCGAAGAATGCGGTGCCTGAAATTACTTTGGTAGAGGGACTCGGAGTCACTGGCGACTGCCACGCCGGAAAGACGGTGCAGCATCAGGCACAACAGCAGAAGAACCCTGCGGGGCATAATCTTCGGCAGGTTCACCTTGTCCCGATCGAGAGCCTGCGCGAGGTTTCTGCCAAGAGCAAACTTGCAAAGTCACTTTCGGCCGGGGAGATCGGCGAGAATATCACTACGGAGGGAGTGGAGCTGGCAAGTCTGCCTCGAGGAACGGAATTACATTTCGTCAACGGGGCCTCTAAAGCCGTCGTCGTGCTGACCGGAGTGCGAGAACCCGGACCAGGGATCAACAAAGTCCGGCCGGGACTACAGCAGCATTTTTTGATTCGCAATGGGAATCAGACCAAGAGGCTTGCTGGAGTGATGGGCATTGTGAAAAATGGCGGGGTTGTCAAGCCAGGAATGCGGATCGATCTGGTCAGACCGACGAGTACCGAATCTTTGCCTGTGATCTGAGTAATGAATCATGGACTTTCCAAGTTTCTAACTTTATTTGTCCTGACAGAATTAACGAACTGAGAGGGAATGATTACTTAGTTACTCCGTAGAATCGTTTGTTATGACGTATATATGGCTCGCATCCAGTACAGTTGCTCGTAGTTCTCTCGATGAAACGTCCAATAGCTTCTGCATATCAAATTGTTTAAAGTGTTTAATTGAGCCTCGCTATAACACTGTCAATAAATCCCACGCAAAATATCTCAAGATGGCTCAGAGACCTTACACACTTCGCGAGGGTAAGCTCTCCTTGGCTTTGGCCCGCTCGCTCTGTCACTCTGCTGAACATGTCCAGGATGCCCCTACGCGAGCGATTCAACATCAGTGCAGCTGCGCAGCGGTAATGGCGGCCTGGTGCTGATGCAGGACACACAGCTCATTGAGACACTCGCACACTTTGCCCGCGAAAGGATCCCAGAACGGTACGCAAGTTTACATGCCATCCAGATGAGGATTGTGCAGACTGATATTTTGCTCTATCAAACAGGGTAGTTCACGCGAAAGCAGCCGGGTCAGTTCCTGAATAACAGTAGCTTTACAGTATCAATTGCTGACCGACAGCCTACTCTCTTGATACCTCAGGGCATACGGAGAATTCACTTGCACACACGATTGCTCGGATATCACCAGTGCAAATTTCCTGAGCCAAGTTGGCAAGAAGACTCCACTGCTGTTACGCATATCTACCGTTGGCCCTAAAGCAGGTTCTGCAGATACTCTGCGAGACGTGCATGGCTGGGCGATGAAATTATATACAGACGAAGGCAACTTGGACTGGGTGTTTAACAACACAGTACGTATAATTGTCTATCTTAACCCAACTGAAACAAAGAGCAAACGATATAACTTGTACTTATGCTCTTCACTAGCCTGTCTTCTTCATTCGAGATCCGTTGAAATTCCCGTCTCTCAATCGCTCTCACAAGCGGAATCCACGGTCCTTTCTGCCCGATCCTAACATGGTAAGCTCTTTGTTCAACGCAAATCCCTGCAATGGTCGCCTTACTGACGTATGAGAAATCTTCAGTTTTGGGAGTGAGTGTGTCTCCTCTATTGAGGGAATATTCTAACGATCCCCTCAATAGTTTCCACGTTGGCAATCCTGAAGGATTCCACGAAATCATGCATATGTTCAGTGATCGGGGTACTCCGGCATCGCTCCGCCACATGAATGCATATAGCGGGCACACGTATAAATTCACCCTCAAGGTATATTTTACTCTCTTGATCATTACCGCTTTGAAATGCTCCTGACAGGTCGACAGGACGGATCCTTCAAATACGTGAAAATACATATCAAGACTGCCCAGGGCATCAAGAATTTCACCAAGGAGGAAGCAAGCCGGATTGCTGGAGAGGACCCTGATTTCCTGATCCGGGACATGTTTGAGGCCATCGAGAGAGGCGAATATCCCGTCTGGACTGTTTTCGTGCAGGTCATGTCCCCGGAGGAGGCAGAGAATTATCGATGGAATATTTTTGACATGACCAAAGTTTGGCCGCACCGAGATTTTCCATTGAGACAAATTGGCACAATGACATTGAATCGCAATGTGGGAGCCCTATCTATTTACTTTTGTTTTATTCTTTTCCCTTGGATTTATCTTTTTGATCAAGTGACCTTTCTAGAACATAATCGACTGACTCATATACAGCCGAACAATTATTTCACTGATATCGAGCAAGCGGCCTTCTCGCCCTCTACCATGGTCCCGGGTGTAGCCCCTTCAGCTGATCCAGGTGAGAGGAGACTATCAAATGACAACGCTTAATCTTTCTACTACAAGTATGGAAGTTAATCATCCCCTTTCGCCATGTAGTACTGCAAGCCAGAATGTTCTCTTATCCTGATGCCGCTCGTTACCGTGTTGGAACCAATTATCAACAACTACCGACCAATGCTCCAAAAGCGCCCGTCTACTGTCCATACCAGCGTGATGGCGCCATGAATTTCTCAGATAATTATGACGGTGAGCCAAACTATGTTGGATCTTCTTTAAGACCCATGACTTTCTACCACGACGCCAAGGGAACTGGCCCGCAGTGCATCAGCACGTTGACAGAGCATGAGAAATGGACTGGTGAGGTTAGCAATTTCCATTCCCGCATCAGTGATGACGACTTCGTCCAGCCAGCGGAGCTTTGGAAGGTTATTGGCAAGGAGCCTGGACATCAAGAACGGTTCTTCGGGAACGTTGCAGTGCATCTGTCCCAGGTGAAGTCTGCTAGGCTGCGGCAGAATGTGTACGGTATGTGGTCCTCGAATCTCCTTCTGGAAAAGAACTATTGCTGACTCCCTACAGAATTCTTCTCGCGGATTGACGAAGATCTTGCTGCAGGAGTCAAGAAGGCCACTGAGGCACTAGTGACAGCATGAGGGCTGGGTCCCTAAGTCTCTGTCTGATAACTCAGCCTCTCTATCACGATGAAATAAATGGCATTGTGGTCCATTTGCATTTGTGGTATATGCTTATGCTTGAGTTAAACGTTTGATACCGTCTACCGAAAACTTTGTAGGTTACTGTAATTTATTTACTAGAACGTAATCTCAGCATCCTGGTGTTCTCTTCGAGAACCCGAGTAAAGTTTGAGTGGTATATTGCGTCAATGATTATGAAGTAGAGACATTCACACTGCCTATCGAACGATGCGTCGTTGTCCACTCCCACCTCATCTCTAGATGGGATCGAGATCGCGTGCTAGATCCACTAGACGCTTTCAATATTCGATATAGGCTTCCTTTGGACTATGCTGCGCCTTTTATTGAACGCGGATCGAAGCTTGATCCTATTACAAACTCTGCTCCAGAATGGGAGCGTCATCACTCCGAGAGTGGAGCACCAATTACTCCTATGCTCCACAACAACATTCAGGCCGTCTGGCCACTGACGCCTCCATTTTTGTTTCCTTTGGTTTTCCCCGAGTTAATTGGTCAAGTTCTTTTTCTCGACTATAGAAAGTTGCGAATACAGCGACGGAATAGTTGTGTAATGACTGGTGGTGGCTCAACGGGGCTGGCTGATAGCATTCCGCACCCTGTCTAGCGTTCTTTGTCGGTGCTGGGGTGGCTGGAGGTAACGGGGCTGGGACTCTCGGGGGGGGCTCATATTGTTTTCCTAGTTATATAGCTGATGCAAGGGATACCATCAATCATTTAGTTCCCTAATCAATTTGAATCAAGTTGCCATACACTCATATTGCCTGACATTTTTGACTCCCTGAATTTGTTTCACGTACGCAATCACGATGGCCACCCTCACAGCTCAAATGGACACTGTCAATCGTCCAGATGAATGGAAAATCGAGCAGGGACTGGCTGGGCATAAGCTGCCGGTGCTGGACCAGAGTGAAAAAGATACCCTGCACATTTACCCTCCCCAGCCCAAAAAAACTATGAAGGATGAAGAAGCTATTGAAGCTGTTGGCGACCGAGACAAGCTATTTGCTCGAGAGAGGGAGGGCTGGAAAGGGTAGGGTTCCGCGGACGCTATCCGCATTCCTTCAGGAAAGACGACTAACCGATATCTTGGATAGATACGTTGAATGGGAGAAGTATCCGGAGAAGAAGGCCAAAGCGAACAAGATTCTCACCTCCCAGACCTTCAACCCAAGTCCAGATTTTATGTTTGGGCCGATCCCGGACACCAATCCAGTCCTACCCGGTGATGATTTCAAGGATTGGCATCGCGCACTGGGTGGTGAGCTCACCTCAGTAGCTGATGATTCATGGCGGACTGTGCTGCGCGAAAAGCATCCCGATATGCTGCACCTCCTCCAATTCCCTTACAATGGCGAGCCGCCCAAGCGATTGGTGACATCAAAGGTTGTCACTCCCAACCCCCTGCACTTCGTGAGAAATCATGGCGGCATCCCGCTTATCGACAAGGATAAATGGAGTCTGTGCCTGGACGGCCTTGTTAAACACCCTAAAACTTATACTCTGGACGACATTAAGGATGAGTCACGGTTCCCCCGGATTTCGAAGACGGTGACGATGCAATGTTCGGGAACTCGCCGGATTGAGCAAATTACCTTGTATGGTGGTCAAGGAGACGAGGTCCCCCAGGCCCCGTGGGCCGAGGGGGCGATCGGAACAGCGCGTTACGTCGGAATCAGCCTGAAAAAATTGATCAAGGACTGCGGCGGTCTCGTCGAGCCTGCTAAGCACCTTGAATTCTACGGTGCGGACACCTATATCAAGGATCTCGAAGCCATGAACTACGTGGTCAGCGTTCCCTGGTCCAAGGTCAAGGCCAATGAAGTGATTCTGGCATGGGAGATGAATGGCGAGACATTGCCGAAGATCCACGGCTATCCTCTTCGGGTGGTTGTCCTAGGTTATATCGGTGCCCGCAGCGTCAAATGGATCTATCGCATCAAAGCAATCGAGAATCCTTCGCGGGCTCCGGTGCAGAGCAAGGAGTATCTCTATTTTAACCAACAGATTGGAAAATATAACCTCAAGGCAACCGACGGAATCCAAATCCAGGAGATGCCTGTTAGCTCTGCAATTATGTCCCCATGGACCAAACAAGTGATCATCCACACTGGTAAAATCCGGTGCAAGGGTTGGGCCTATTCTGGCGGTGGTCGCTGGCCAGAGAGGGTGGAATTGTCTGCCGACGGCGGTTTCACCTGGTATGCCGTCCCGCCAGAGCAGCTATCTAAGAAGGGGCGCTGGACTTGGCGGACATGGGAAATGGAACTTCCCTGTGATGCCGAGGGTTGGATTGAAATCGTATGCCGGTGCTGGGACAATTCTCTGAACACTCAGCCGCTGAATGTCCGTGCGGCATGGAACTGGGGCCTGCATGTCACCTCATCAGCCCATCGAATCAGGGTGTATAGCGTGAATAAGGCGCATGAGGCTACCCGCAAAGGTATTGAGAAGATGGAACAGCTAGGCATCCCTCTTGCACCTCTCACGCGCTACCAGGCGGTTCCCAGTCAGACATGGGAGGAGGAGTATGACCAGTACTGGCGGGAGCATGATCCCAGGGATGTCGACGATTGAACTGGTGGATTACTGGATTGTCTTTTTGCCACGTATGGGGTACTTGTTGTTGATGCAGTTTTCATTTGAAGTTGAGTATTTGTATTAGCCTCTGTATGAATTCGTGATGTGCGTCTTTTCATCCCGCAGTCTATTATTGGTCGTCTTTATTTGTCTGTCAGGAGTAACAAATATCGAGCTCACAGGTGACGTGCCCTTTTGTTTAATTGGCCCGTGAAGATCCTATCAATGATCTCTTTAATTAAACATATGCCCTTTGACAGCAGTTGATAGGGCCGGCAGTAGCAGCTTCCATATCTTCTGGACATGCGGGCAATCGTTAGGGGGACTACTGAGGATGCTCAAGCTTGGTCCCTTTATACCGGTTCTGACCCTGAGCTTTAGTTGTTTTGCAATGGGAATTTCCAACCCCACCACATTCCGACTCCCTTACATACGTTTCCAGGGAGGCTATATTTGACTTTGACGAGACTTTCAAGCAAAAAATCCCCAGATAGTAGACTTGTCTTCGCAGGAATTGGGGAGCTAGGCGTCTACTGCCTCCTGCAGCGGCCTTAATTTTGGACTCACCTCACAACTTGTCCAAATAACACCTGCCAGAACCATTCAAGAGGCTGACTTGGGATCCGCTGAGAGCATTGGTTAGTGTAGTCCAAGCTGTCCGGATCTGGAACAATACACCTGGCTGGTGTAACCATGGGTCTCCTGGATTTGATCAGTTTTTGAAAGCGATGAAAGTGGTATCTCGCCTCTCATTGCGCTGCCGTTGATTTGGCATTTAAATTGTCTCAGCCAACTACCTACAATGAGAGCTGCCACTGGGCCTTTTTGAATCCTTATTTCTTCGTGGCCGACCGCCACCTAGGTTCCAACTCTTTTCTCATTATTGGCCAGTTAGTATTTCCTGAAAAGGATCATCTGGAGGCCCGTTCGCCTGCTGCGGGGTAAGGCTCGGCATAGACATAAGTTCGACCAGGTCTCCAGGCCTCCCATGTTGTCGCAAGGTCGGCGACGCTCTTGTAGAATAATGGGGCAAAGGCAATACTTGAAACGTAGTCTCCTGTGCCCTCAACATCTCCGATCGCCGGGCACCGCCGTCAATAGATGTCAAGAACGCCGCTATCAGGGCACAAAAACTCAAAAGGCGCGTGTGTGTTCTCGAATATGGAGAGTCTAATTACATGGCTTGATCCTGACTGGTTGATAGACTAACCAGTCCCACCGATCTTTGGAAGACCCCAAAATCAAACCATTCTCGGAATTTCTGACAGACAGATTCAGACGACAACATGACTACCTCCGCATCAGCATCACTGAACACTGCAATTTGCGATGCTTGTACTGCATGCCAGAAGATGGGGTCGCCCTTTCTTCACCTCCGCATCTGCTGACTACCCCCGAAACCATCTATCTTTCGTCATTGTTTGTCTCTCAAGGGGTGACAAAGATACGGCTAACAGGAGGTGAGCCCACGGTCCGATCCGACTTCCTCAGTCTCATGCGGGAAATCGGCAAGTTACGACACAGTGGGCTCCGAGAACTCTGTTTGACAAGCAATGCCCTCACTCTGAGCTCGAAATTAGACTCCTTGGTCGACGCTGGATTGACTGGGATCAATATCAGCTTAGATACGTTGGATCCTTTTCAGTTCCAGATCATGACGCGAAGGAAAGGCTTTGAGAAAGTAATGAATTGCATTCAACGAATAATCGAAATGAACCGTGCTGGTGCAAATGCCAAACTCAAGATCAACTGCGTGGTCCTTCGTGGGTTGAATGATGGGCAAATTATTCCTTTCGTGGAATTCTGCAGGGATCACCCCGTGGAGGTTCGCTTCATTGAGTATATGCCCTTTGATGGCAACCGTTGGAATCGGCAGAAGCTTGTCTCCTACCAAGAGATGCGCGCGATCATAGAGGCGAAAATCCCGCTGCTCAAGCTGACCGACCATGAAAATGATACAAGCAAGACATTCCAGCCAGAGGGCTTTCGGGGCCGCGTAGGTTTTATTACAAGCCTGACTGACAACTTTTGCGGCACCTGCAACCGCCTGCGCGTTACTGCCGATGGAAGCCTGAAGGTATGCTTGTTTGGAAATTCGGAAGTCTCACTCCGCGATCTGATCCGCCAGAACAACAATGGGTTGCCGATTGAATCAATGGAATTGCTCGAGGCCCGTGATATCGCCGATAATGAACGTAGCCTTTTGGAGGTTATCGGTACGGCCGTTAAGCGAAAGCAGCCAAAGCATGCCGGAATCGGCAAGCTGGAAAAGACGGAAAACCGGCCCATGATCCTGATCGGAGGCTGATAGGAGCATGGAAGCTACGGCCCCTGTATTGAACATACAGCTACAGCACCAGTACCCACCACTGGAAGTTCCAACTCCAGTATACTCTGAGAAAGCTTAATATTAGAGTTATTTGAGTATCCTTTCGTGGCCCTTCGTGAAACAATTGAAATAATTGCTGGATGTGGGAGTTGCTTGTGTCCCACGGAGTGTCATACTCTAGCACCGAAGATTCCAACCACAGTCGACCCCGTCGAACTTCCTTGGCCTCGGTTTGTCGAAAGTATAAACAAGTTTGCCACCCAGTCTTGCCGGTGCAACGCTGGTGGAAATAATACCGGTATCTGTGCCTCAGGTATTGCATCCCGTGCCTATTCGTCTGGGGCAATGAGCTTGGGCGTGGCTGGAGTGATTAGGGCAATGGTGGATACCTTCATTATTCTCCGTAAATCTTGGCTGCTTAATATTTACTACGGCAAATGCGTCAGCGCCTGTGCAAGATCCCGAATATGACTGAGTAAGCCGGTACAAAAACATAGCGCCGCCAGGCAGAATGTTGTAACCTGCGAAACCTCCGCTAAAAGCCTTGGATGTACTCTCAGCTAACCCTCTTATTCAAACCTGCATTAGACGTTCACTAACTGCACCTACCCCTCACTTTTCATGGTCTGCATACATGGGCTGGCAATAGATGGTTACATGCCAAGGGACTTCATTTTGAGACAGGCGTTTCTACAGGTGGGCAAAAGGGAAACATTTTTTTTTACGTGCAGCTGGCATGCTTTGTACCATTTTCTCCCTGATGATAATACTTGCGCCGAGTATCCTTGTATCAACTTGAAATTTGCGGCCCTGCAATCTTGGAGACAGCGATTGGAGGCTACTTGACCAATTTACCATCACGTCCGATCCCCTAGTATGGCGACGTCGACAATTACCTACCTAGACAGTCGTCAGCTCCCCACAGCAGGCCAGCTTAGGGTTCTTCGATCAGCAAGTCCTCATCCCCTACTACCTCGAAATCGCCAGTTTCATCCATTAAGCTAGTTCCCGGGCTGCAGTGTCCAAGGAGACTGTGTAAATTGTGCACCATCAATCGCTCGGCCAAGCCAACCCTGCAGCGTCCGTCTTACGACAGGTCCACCTCGCCCCGATCGAGAGTCTCAAGCAGGTGTCTACCAAGTTGACGGGCACGAATCTCCTCTCCCCTGGGGAGACTGGCGAGAATGTGAGAACCGAAGGGATAGATCTGACGGGTCTACCCTGTGGAACAGAGCTACACTTTGTTGGTACAGGAAGGACCAGTGATAGTGCAATTGTTGGGTTGACAGGCCACCGAAACCCCGGCCCAGGAGTGGACAAGTGTCGACCTGGACGGAAGGATCTTTCTGTCAGGATTGGCAAGCGTTCGGCGGGTCTCATGGCCACGCTGAAACAAGGGGGAGTGATCAAGGCGGAAATGCGCATTTAAGTAGTGAAGCCATCTCGAGCTGAGCCTCTTGTTGTCTAAAAGCATGTTATTTCTCAGTGATCTCTGTGGCTTGTTTGCCTGCGTGCAACTGCCTGTCATTTGTATATACGGTAACATTAATAATGATCGATTCTCCAGAAGCTTCGTAAAGTAATCCGTGGGTGAGTGACGAATGTTCGCCGGACCCAGTACTACCTGAAATCTTCTAGCATCTGTATATTTTCCAATAGATAAATATGAATGTCCAGTAGACACGAAACTACTACTCAGTGCGGCCGAAGCCACGCGCGAAGACGGATACCTTCCTAGTAAAGGTCCCTGTGGTCACGCTTGATCGCATCAGCGCCTTTCTCACCCACCATGTACACTGAGTTCTGGATACGGCAGTCGGGAATCACAGGGATGACAGACGCGTCAATGACACGCAGGTTCCTGATTCCATGAACCCTGAGATTGGGATCCACAACACCCTGCTCAATGTTTTTCGACAGACGAGCCGTACCACATGGATGGAAAGAAGTTTGGGATCGATCCAAGACGGTTCGCTTCATCAGCTCGTCATCATGCAGCGGCATCTCCCATGGGTATTCTTCAACAATGATATCCTTGAACCCGTCGCCATTCTTTAGCACATCGTAGGCATAGCGGATACCCTCACGGACGGCGATAATGTCGAGGTCATTGTTGAAGTAATTCAGGTTGATATTTGGCTGCTGTAGCGGATCTGCGCTGTTCAGAGTAACCTCACCCGGCTCAGAGACAGGGCGGACAAGATCAACCATGACAGTAACGTAGTTGCCCTTCCTTGGGGTAGGGTAGTGCCACTGGAAAGCGCTGCCGAAGAGGCACACAAAGTCGAGTTCAAAGTGCGGTTGGCCGTATGGGCAAAAAGGGTCCTTGTTGCCGTTGGATGCTTTGGCCTCTCGATATTCGGGCGACTTCTCGAGGTACTTATCGATGCGTGGGAAACCAACCATCTCAAGGAAGCCGGAGCCCAGTGGGCCGCGGTGTTGGTTCTGGTAGGCTTGGATGGCTTGCTTGTTTTGTGGGGTGTCCTTGCGGAGGATGTAATCATCCATGCTGTAGCCATCTTTCACACGCAGGACGAAGGGGACGCCAGGGTGGTCAAGGAGGTGCTGGCCGACGTGAGGAGAGTCAAGGACCACTGGGATGTTATGCTTAGAGAGTTCAGCAGCAGGACCGATGCCGCTAAGCATGAGCAGCTTAGGGGACTCGAAAACACCCTGGGATACAATGACTTCGCGAGTGGCGAAGAGGTTGAGTTCTTGACCGGAGGATGTGATGACGCTCACTCCTTTGCAGGTCTTATCAGCAGTGTCGATGATGAGCTTCTTAGAATGCACTTGAGGAAGGATAGTGATGTTTGGTTTATCAATAACACAGAGAAAACTGCCTGAACGACGCCCCTTGTAGATAGAGTTGACGCTATAGGTAAGACCAACCATTTCGCCATCAAAGATGTTCTCATTGATAGGCTGGCCAGTGGATTTCCAGGCCCTGGTGAGCAGGTCACGGAACGGCTGCATCTCAGGAATCAATTCCGAGTGCGAGATGGGAATGGGGCCGCCTGTACCAATCTTCTTTAGGTCCGGTGAGTATGCGTTCTCGTCGTCGTGATATGTGGCACTCTTGCGCAGGTAGGGCACAAGCATATCCCATGTCCACTCCTTTCCGCCGTACTCCTCCCACATGTCAAAGGTACCCTTGGATCCAGGCACCCAAGTGAAGTAGTTCAGAGACGAACTGCCTCCGAGCGCCTTACCGCGGGTGTTAGGCTTCTCAATACGCTCGTAATCGTCGCGCTTGATCATGGTGGTCTTGTAGGCCCAGTCGTACTGACTGCCACGGAGTTCCATCGCGTTTGAGGGCGTTCTGATGTCCTCGATGTCCTTAGAGTTGGCCACACCAGCCTCAACGACTAGGATTCTAGCATTTGGGTTCTCTGCCAAACGGCCAGCGACGACGTTGCCGGCGGTGCCACCACCAACGACAATGAAGTCGAACCTGGCATTGTCTTGGACAGACATGATGAAGGTTGGAAAAAAAAAGTAGAAGTGATCAGTGTCTTTGAATGAGCTTAGTTGGTCGATGTAGATGAGACTTGCCTGAGCTTCAGATGCCTTTTATATGCAAGCCCGACGGGTTTTCAGAGGCTCCATGTAGTAATGCTGATTCCAAGCCGGAACCCTCAGCGAACGTCATTAACTAGGTGCAAGCAGCAACACAACCTCTCTGAAGCTTAGATCTAGACCACCCCAAAAAGCCTTATTGGTTGTATAGTATTTCTACAACGGGGGTGCATGCGCGCCAGTTTCACGAGTGTAGGCGCAATACCAAATCTCCCCAACCAATACACATGTCAGGATTTGTTAGACTGCTTAGATCGGTTGTTGTTGAGGGGTAGACTATGACTTCCAATGTTCGAACTGATCAACCATAGATGAGATCTGTACGGATACAGGTAGGAATAAGGGAATCAATAAACCAATGAACAGCAAAGGGCATTCATTGCATATGCATCTCGCCTGTTTAGTCTCTGCGTTCATATCCTTTGTAGCTCAAATCAATCTGCAGCTCCCCACTTCATGGTTTTTAAAGCACCATCCAGTACCTTCCCATTCTTGGGCGGGAAAATGGTAAGGGTATCCATGACTGGGCCTCGGCCGCCCCGGCAAGGCACGGTCTGCATCCAGGCCTCTAGATAAACAGGATATATTTAGTTTCACTCTGTATTATCTCGTACTGGTTTCATCCCATGATAGATCACTCATTCCCAGGCTCCCAGCCCTAAGCGAGAAACGGCACAGACCGCCTTCATCCTAGAGCCTCGGGGAGCCAGGTCGTAAAACTGGAGCTGAGAACCACAAAATGCTGGCGATCAGCTGTGGAAGGATATCACTAGAGTTTGACCGAGGCTGAAGGTAACGAACGTACCTTCGCGGTCGTCGATGGACAACGAATCCATGATTTCACACTAAAGAAAGGTACTGGAATTGTATTGGAACAGTGGCAAACGGCAAAGCTTCTCGGATGGGCCCAGGTCCCGGGCGGAATCCACGACGAATCCACAACGGATCCACCGAAGCCACCTGACCAAATATGGTAGTGGTAATTGTTCAATCAAAGGCCTGCTTTCCAAGTACGTGGCCGATGTTCCTTCCCTTGTTCCCATCTCCACATTCGGGCTTGGAGCATTACCTTGTACACTTGTGTATTCACCGTAGCCACCGGTGTCATAACACGCAGAGAGATTTTTACAATAATTATGAGGTGAGTGAGGGGTTGTGAGGGGTTGTGGGTGAGATATGAGACAGAGCTTCAATGAGGGAAAATGTAAGACCTAAGTTCGCAAAGCAGGGCCTACAAACAGAGGAGCCTTTTCCCGGCTTTATCCTATATAAGATGTGCCCCTAGCCTGTCCTAGTGACCAGCACGTATCTTTTCTCTCTAAGCTGTGACTCCAATTATTCTTCGCCATGGACAAATACTACACTCTAGCCGAAGGTACGCCAGCTCACATTGTATTTGTGCTACTCTAACTACGTATAGGCTGTCCTTTTGCCAGTAGCGAAACGGCTGTTCTGATGCGGGGTCGAGGAGTTGGAGGGTTGGGATTGCTTCAGGATACCCAGCTCATTGAGACCCTGGCCCATTTCGCCCGTGAACGAATTCCAGAGCGGCTAGTGCCTTGTCTAGTTAATGCAACCTTTCAATATGGCTACTGACGTTCAAATAGTGTCGTCCATGCCAAAGCCGTCGGGTGAGCAGTTACAACCATCCCACAAAACTCTACGCTGACATTCGCCTAGAGCCTATGGTGAGTTCGAGGCTACCCGCGATTGCTCTGACTTTACGTCTGCTAGCTTCCTCAACGAAGCTGGAAAGAAGACGCCATTGCTCCTGCGCGTGTCCACCGTTGGGCCTGAGGCAGGGTCCGCCGATACTGCGCGGGATGTGCATGGGTGGGCAATGAAGCTTTATACGGATGAGGGAAATCAAGACTGGGTGTTTAACAACACAGTATGATCAGGTGGCCCCAGAGATTATCAGATTAAGATCGTCTAACTTTCCTCTACAGCCTGTTTTCTTCATCCGTGATCCGATCAAGTTCCCGTCCCTCAATCGATCTCACAAGCGACACCCACAAACCCATCTTCCTGACGCAGATATGGTAAGCCCCCTACTTGAAACAGGCATGGAACAAACCTAATTTCGCTTAACAGTTTTGGGAGTATGTCTGGCAACCTCTAGTTCCTGAATACCTCTGACCTGTTCAGTTTCCACGTTGGCAATCCCGAAGGCATGCATCAGCTTCTACACCTATTCAGTGACCGTGGCACCCCAAAGTCCGTCCGCCATATGAACGCGTATAGTGGACACACATATAAGTTTACTAAACCGGTAAGGGTCAATTATCAATCTGCGAGAGCCTCCTCTAACTCATATCCAGGATGGCTCATTTAAATACGCCAAAATCCACATCAAAACGCAGCAAGGGGTACAGAATTTCACGGCCGAGGAAGCCACAAAGGTCGCCGGAGAAAACCCAGACTATCTAATTCAGGATATGTTCGAGGCTATCAAGCGAGGCGACTATCCTGTGTGGAATGTCTACGTCCAACTGATGAGCGCTGAGGAGGCCGAGAACTATCGCTGGAATATCTTCGACATGACTAAGGTCTGGCCGCACAAGGATTTCCCTCTACAGCAAATTGGTCGCCTTACCTTGAATCGCAATGTAAGTCTCTGCAACTGTCCCTAGTCCGAACAACCGAAGGCACTGACTATAACAGCCGAGAAACTATTTCGCAGATATCGAGCAGGCCGCGTTTTCACCATCGACCATGGTCCCAGGCTTCGCAGCGTCCGCTGACCCTGGTAAGTCCACCTCTTTCTAGAAGATCGTAGCTAACTCGTTCAAGTCCTGCAAGCACGACTCTTCGCATACCCCGACGCAGCACGCTACCGTCTCGGCGTGAACTACCAGCAACTCCCCACCAACGCCGCAAAAGCCCCTGTCTACTGTCCTTTCCAACGGGACGGCAAGATGCGCTTTGACGATAACTATGGAGGAGACCCTAACTACGTTGGCTCCTCGCTTCAACCTACCAAATACTACCAAGACGTGAAAGGCACGAGCCCCCAGGCATTGAGTCTGCATACCGACCACGAAAAATGGGTGGGTGAGGTTTCTGCCTATGTGAGCGAGATCACGGATGAGGACTTTGTCCAGCCTGCTGCGTTGTGGGAAGTTATTGGGCGGGAGCCTGGTCACCAGCAGCGACTTGTCGACAATGTGGCTGCACATTTGAAGGGCGTGAAGAATCCGGAGTTGCGTAAGGCGGTCTATGGTAGGTTTAGGAGAATTACTGATATCAGACTAATCCACGGTTAACGCTGAACTAGGGCTTTTTCGTCGTATCGACGAGTCCCTTGGGTCGATGGTGCAGGAGCGGACAGAGGCTGCGAGGAACGCTTTGTGACAGCCGTGGTACTTGATTTTTTTGGTATTTAGTAACTAGCTTCGTCTCCGCAGGGCAGTATGATTGGAATATTCTGTTAGTTTCATTCGCAATCTTACCTTAGCTACTCTAGGTATGTAGTCTTGTAAGAGTCGGGCTTTCTTCCTTTCCACAAATCCACCAAGCCACTCATTGACTAGAGAAGTGTAGAACTTGGGCCATGTGATTGGTGTGGCAGTAACGCGTACATGAGAGACCGAACAGCAGGCTGTGTTTTTAGCAAGGACCGATTCCAGATTGGGGGATGGTGGGGCGTGTGGCTTGGCCCAATTCGCTCCAGGCATTCCGGGCCCCACAGCTCAGCTCAGCTGTGTGCTATGTACGGAGCAGGAATATGTGGCTAAGAAGTCATGTGATCTCTGTTCGCCATCCAATGTTCCGACCTGTCACCTTGCCTTACAGCACCCCATGGGCAAAAACCAACGATGTCTCAGCGGGCCTCCAGCTCCTCGAGCGGAAGCAACCAGTTCACCTTCGTGTCTGGGAACATCCAGTCGGAAGCTCGCAGCCATGCGATGCGGGAACACTGGAAGCGCCGCCACAAGCGCAATCAAGAAGCTAAGTCGAATCGCACCAGGAAAACATCTCGTACTCTGCTTCCACGCTCTATGAACAGTGAGGAACCCTCGTCGTCAGAGTTGCAGCAGAGTACTGCTTGGATTGAGAAGGCAAAAGAAAAAGAGACGGGCAATGCCGGGGCCGGGATCCCTGCTCAGCTGTTGTGCGGTATGGGTTATGCGCTGTCAAGCTCGAGGCCGGACCCGTTTCAGACTTGTCCTGTTCATCTGACGAGCCAGCATCAGAGACTACTGCATCACTGTGCGCATAGCGTTGGGTTATTGCTGCTTTTGGGCGGCGAATTGGCTGACGGATTCCAGGGATTGGCACCCATGCCGCGATGATGTTTGAAGAGCTGGAAGTGACCGAGTTTAACCCGATGAGAGATGTTTGGTTCCCGTTGGATCTGTCGAATGCATCGTCTTTTAATTGCATCATGGCGCATTCGGCTGCTCACTTGGCTCATTTATACGCTGGCACTCCGCCGCGGCGAGGGACGAATTCTGCGGACGCCTTGAAATATAAGATTGAGGCTGTCAGGATATTACGGCTTTGGCTTGCTGATCCTGAGAAGGAGCTTAGCGATGACTCTTTCGCTGCTACTGTTCGTCTCCTCACCTTTGAGGTATGTTCGCCGGGGAGGAATATCTCCTGAAAAATGGCTAATCCTTTCATTAGCGATACTGGGGCACCGCGGCCGATTGGCAGATTCACCGTGACGGTCTCCAGCGGATGATTGATGCCAAAGGCGGGGTTGAGGCTCTGCATGAGAACTGGCGTCTGGAGCTCGTTGTCTACCTGTGGGTGCAGCTTGCGAAGGGCTTGGTCGTGATACTGACTCTCTTAGTGTCTCACTAATGTCGCGGCCGTCATGGCTCGAGTCCATGAACAACCTTGACCAGATATCTCGCCCTCTTTTCTTTTCGTCTTTCCTACCATCCCGCTCCTCTCTCGATGTGCAGAAGGTGCGTTGTCTTTGGTTGATATCATTTATTCAGGACTTGAGAACCTTCATGGGTTCGTTTTACTCTGTGGGACTTTCTTCGTACCCTTCTATTCATTCTGCAGTCGGATTGCTGCGTCATCGATATCTGCTTTCCCTTCAGACCTCTTCTTACGATACACACATTACGGAATGGGAAGACAAAATGCTGGGGTGTTTGTTTTCTATCAGCATCATAGTGCAGGAATCAGCTTCGCTCTTGTCTGATGGCAATCGGACAACACCCATGTCAAATGCACTTGCTGAACTAGAGATCTTCCTACGGGATTCTCAAGTTATATGGAGAGATTCAGTCCACAGTTTGCACTCGATTCTCCATCAGAGCTTGACGCGGCTGTTCCAGGACGGCGAATTCAAGGTCAATTATGTTACTGACCTGGTGCAAGTCCTCGGCACTTTGAGCCTGGAAGCGCGCCAGGGGGTGGGCAGATGTCTTCTCAATTTGCTTTACTCCCTGGGAAACAAGGACCATACGTTATTGATAGACGATGGGTGGACACCGGATTCCCTTCTATCGTCGATGCACGGGCATTAACGTATGGGGACATGGCCTTATATTTATGATTTATGTAATGGACGATAACTATAAGCGATATTTATTGGTTTCCATGGAGTCCTCAGGCAATTACATCAAACCCCCGTAGGTCTGTCCCTCCTGTTCAAGCTGCTCATCCTCTTTGAGGTATTCTTTGAAGCCCCCCTCGTCCTTCTTTAGAACATCGTGCAGCCTGTTTTCATGGCTGCCTTGGTCCTTGTTGTCATCCTTGGATTCGTTTGCATGTTTGTGGTGGTGGCGGTCGAGGATCCGTTCCAAAAAGGGCTCCTGGTGCTCTGATTTCTGGGTGTCTGCGCTCATTCATTAGCAATTGGAAGTAGCAGAGAACGATTGACGAACCCTGAGGCATGTTGAATCAAATCAGATTTTTGTTTTATCTTGGATCTGAAAGTGAGTTGTTATTCAATCTTCTCGCCATTCTGCGCTATATAGTTAGCTCAACGGCGATCATGACGTAAGGTCGCTCCGATCTAGACACCCGCGACATTCCCGATCTAGTATAAGTAATTGACCAATCAGAACACGTATACCGGACTACCTAAGTAGGTAGATGTACCAACCGTGGTAAGTGCCTGCTATCAATGTACAACCCCGCATGATTACAACCCCATCATATCTTCCCGACGCTCCTCTACCTGCGGAGACAAACACCATCAGCAGAGCCCGCACTCTTGTCTACCGCTTCATTTCTAATCGCCACCCTCTCTATTCATTGCTCTGACAGAAGCATAGCCAAGGCTACTTAGGTTAGATTCTACTCTCCCTCCGTCTCGCAGTTCCCCTGTCACATACAAATGGGCTCCTTAGCCACCGGCGGTGCTCAACCCGTCGGCGCTGCCCTCACCCGCTCAGCCACTTTCCTCATCCTGTCCCTCACAAAGCCCGAATCTATCCCAACCGTCCGCTCAACCCTCGCCAGCATTCCGAACCTCGCCAAAAATGTCGCCTTCCGCGACTCAGCCGCCAATTTCGTCTGCACAGTTGGCATTGGCAGCTCTATCTGGGACCGTCTAACCGGCCTCCCACGCCCGAAAGAGCTGCATCCCTTTCGCGAAGTCAAGGGCGCCAACCACACCGCCATCTCCACTCCCGGCGACCTCCTCTTCCATATTCGCTCTGAGCGCCGCGACCTCTGCTTCGAGTTTGAGCGCCAGCTCATGGACCTCCTCGGCGACGCGGTGACGCTCGTCGATGGAACCGTAGGGTTCCGCTACTTCGACGCCCGCGATCTCCTCGGCTTCGTTGATGGCACAGCAAATCCCGTCGGCTCGGACATCCCATCTTCCATACTCGTCACCGCAGAAGAAGACCTCAATGCAGTCGGGGGAAGCTACGTCGTCGTCCAGAAATATCTGCACGACCTCTCCGCCTGGCGCGCCCTCTCAGCGGAACAACAAGAGCAGATCATCGGCCGCACAAAGTTCGATAACATCGAGATCGACGACGCCGAAGACGGTGAGCAGTGCTCGCACAAAACCCTCGCGACAATTGAGGACGAGAACGGCGACGAGAATGACATCCTCCGCGATAATATGCCCTTTGGGTCCCCCGCGTCTGGCGAGTTTGGGACTTACTTTATCGGGTACACCCGCCGGTTATGGGTCATCGAGAAGATGCTGGAGCGCATGTTCGTTGGGAATCCGCCTGGTATGCATGATCGGTTGCTGGACTTTTCGAAGCCATTGACGGGGACGGTTTTCTTTGCGCCGTCTGTAAGCGTGCTAGGTAGTCTCGCGCATTGATAGTATTGCGTCTGAGGTCTCGCACGTTAACTGTACCTAACTAATACGCAGCGAGAACACGCTAGAACGCTACTTATATGTGGCCAGTACCATTCCTACATTGTACCCATTTCGTGGGGCGTGCTGGGCCCTTAATGCAGTCCCCTGATAGCCGACTATTTCCACGGTTTGAACATAGGCAAGAAAAGTCCCGAGCCGACATTAGAAGTAGCGACGTAAAATTTTGCCATTTAGGAGGGCATACTCTTAGCATAATGTTTTATGCCGTCGCATCTCCCGGCATAGGATTCTGGAGGGTGCCGCGTGGGTCTATACATTTCAATCAAGGTAGAGATTCTTGTAATTATGATAACAAAGTCACATGGCCATAAAGCAAAGGCTAATTTGTCTATAGCAGTTAGCAGACGTTTGGGACGTGCTTTGACCGCTTTGGATAGATTACCGGCTTAGCAGTATATAGCCCAGTCGGCTGGAAATATAGTGAGTTAACGTAATCGGTAAGTGAGCGGCTATTGTAATTGAGCGGCCGCCCTACCATGCCATATCAGCCAGTTCGAAATATGAAGCTACCTCAACTCCTAGAACAGGATTCTATTGCAAAAGCTAGTTGTTCTTACGCTGCAGACATTACAATCACTTATAGGCTAGAATATGGCAGTCACTACAGGCGTATAGGGGAGTAGTGTACCCCCGAAGATTAAGATAAGATTAACCTAAAAGGTGGTACAGAGATATATATATCTTACCACTGCTATACTACTCACCATCATCTAAAATATAAAATTAACTATACATCTAGATTTTGTTAGTAAACCTAATATTTTATTTAATATATAGATAGTTATGATCATTCTCTATCTATATATATAAATATATATCCCTATCTGGGCCTGAATTAGGTTAGATAAGCTAATCAGTTCTAGGAGCCTGGAGATCAACTTCAGTCTTGGCCGCCCCGGATCCATTGTTGAGGGCCTTGATGCGCTCGATTAGTCGCTGGATGAGGCCCTTGCTGGACTCTTCCTAGTATCGAGGCTAGGCAGAAGCCGGTAATTTTGTTGGATGGCGTCCCTCAAAAATCAGCAACAATTTCTCCAGGTTGGTATTCCTGGAGAAGGTCGATAACCTGTGCGGGAAGTCGCGGCTTTGGAATGATGTTTTGTGGCCGGATCGGTGGTTCATAGTATAATCCACGGAATGCACTTTGGCGATGCGACACCGGGGCCTTTAAGCGCCTGGGTATTGTTTTTGGGATCAGTGGCGATTATATCAAATTTGTTTGTCCAACGGCTAGGTACAGTCCTTTCTCCCGAAGGCGAGTACGTCGGTGGGAAGGATGAGAGATCCAGTGTGGCCATCGCATACGTATGGTTTAGTCTGGCGAAGAATGGATATTTGAGGGAACATCCTATTAATCCTTTCGCTACCAATCGTCACAATAAATGTCTTTGCTCATTCCAAAGAGAGGAGGTAGCACGGAAAAATCTGACAACCAAGTCTGTCGATAAGATGGCTGTATAGGATATCAAAGCCTATCTCTTGAGAAGCCCTGCATCCTCCTGCAAAACGCGATTTAGGCCAGTCCTCTTCACACAGTTCTCGAAAGCAAACGACCGAGCCAGATCCTCTATCTCCTGCTCCGTTTTATCTCGGAACAGCTCTGCAAATTCCCAACCCAGATACTCACTCAGTAGACACTCCCTGACTGCTCGCTCGACCTGACGGTCAAACGTCCAGACGGGCGGATATTTCTTCTGCCGCAGCTCGGGCCCGATCATGTCCCGCAAGCCTTGGAGAAACGGCTCATAGACATCTTTGACGGCCTTTTTATCTGTGCAGCCCCAAAAGTCCAGCCCGAGACGCTGCTTCTTCGCTACAAACGGCGCAATGAGCTTCATATATGGCGACTCGGGATCAACATACACCATCCCCTGGTACCCGATATCCTTGTACAGCCAGATGCTCCAGCTAATGTCAGTCTCCGCATAAATCCTCAACTGCTCCCTCAGCACGCCCAACCTTGCCTCATTCGTCGCCTCAGCATCCTCTTCCCGCGCATCAGGATACACGGGCCCAAACTCGCCGTTCCAGATCGGCACCCCACGCTCTCGCATGAACTGCACCTTCCGCTCAAACTGCCTCCGCAATTTGGCCTTTTGCTCGTCCGTCCCCACATACACTTCCTGCCCGGGGAACCCCATCTTGGCGTAATCATGGCACGCATAGACTGCGTTGGGAAGGACAGTGGTGAACTGCGAGAAGTCCATCGCGTAGGTATTCCCATCCACGAAGAGGATGTGGTCAGGATCCACGGCGCGGATGGCTCTCTCGACGCGCTCGTACCACGAAATCAGCCGCGTGTGCTCGGGATCTGCGGGTTCATTGAGCGGATTGTACCCCGCTATTATAGGATCTCCCGCGTAATGCTTCGCGATCTCGACCCACAGATTGACCATCTGGTCCTGGAAGACCTTGAAGTCCCAGAAGAGGGCGCGGGTGAGCCCGCTATCGCTGTGCCAGTCTTGGTTCTGGCCTCCGGGGACGGCGTGGAGGTCGAGAATAACGTACAGGTTGAATTGGCGGCAGATGTTGACTATGCGGTCTAAGAGGGCGAAGCCAGACTTCTTGATTACGGTGGGGTCGGTGTCGTCGATGAAGTGGCGGTAGTTGAAGGGGAGGCGAAGGCAGTTTAGACCTAGCGAGGCGAAGAAGGCCGCGTCACCCTCGGTGAAGGAGTAGTGGATTAGGCGGTCGAAGAAGAACTGGGCCTTTTCAGGGCCCAGCACGGCGCTCATCTGGGCACGATGCTCGTTTTCGTGGCCGCTGTAGCCTGTGATGAAGTTTTCCATGTTGAGATAGCCGCCCAGAGCTGCACCCTTGAGGACGACCGGGTTGCCGAATGCATCGACGATGGATGTGCCGGAGACATGGAGGAGGCTGCCTTTGAATACGGGAGTATTATGTGTGGTTGAGCCGTTGGCCTGAGGAGACATGGTTGATTGACTGCAAGGTAGAGTATTGAGTTGAAGTGGTAGTTGCTTTGAAAAGGGAGATAACGAAAATTTGGCTCTCTTTGAGATAGCGACTCGAGGGAATTATTTAACTTCTATCTAATGCGATTCGCATCGACACATAAGGACTTTCCATCGTGTGTATCTTCCCCACATCCTTCAGGGCGATACTCCGCGATGGTGTGGCAATGGCGTCCACCGTCATGCGACATTCCGTTTCACCACAGATTGACATTAAAGTCGTCTGTAAAATTCCACTGGATAAATGAGTTCAATCAGGGGTAAATGCACGGCTAAACCGCGCTGGGATCGATAGGTCTATCATGCTCTGGACATTGAGCCGCCTTCTCAGAAACCAGTGTTGAAGCGCCCCTCGAAGGTTCGGCCGGCTACGTACAGAATTATTGATGATGGTTTAACAGAAATATATATATATACTATGCAGTATCCAAAATTCGTACTCGCGCCCAGAGTAACTCCAATATCGGACGTATGAACCTGCAGTCCGCGGACTCCCCCTCCCAATACCTGTTCAGATCGATCGCCAGCGCAACCGCGTGTTTCCAGTTCTCAGGTAGCATTAGAGGCGATGGCACTCCTTGTTCCAAAGAAGATTGTACCACTGAAGCTGCAGCCAGCAGGGTCAAGGCACTCCGGTTACAGGACCGAATCAGACACACCGTGCCATGGTGCCGATGATAGAATCCCGGCTGATTTACATACATCCTCTCCACATGGCGGTGGAGACCTTTCTGGACGAGGCTGCAGAGTAAAGGACTCCATCTATGGGTATGCTGGCAACCTGTCCGGTTGATTGCTGCGTCTATGAAAGGCCAGTAGATCATCTCGTAGAAGTTGAGGAGGTGTCCCCTCAAGATGAAATGAGAGATATCGTCGTTTTCAGGTGGAGCTTGGAGTGAGAGAATAGCCGGCAAGGCAGTAACCCATTCCTGAGCTTGCTCCTCATGCTCCTCCGTCGCCTTGGCCAGTTCCTCCAGTAAGTCAGATTCCGGCGAGACGGGCACGTGGAGAATGGAACTGGCGACTCGGAAATGTAGCCGCCGAAGAGAGATTTCGGACAAGTAAAAGTACCACGCAAGACGTTCCCGCTGTGCACTCTCATCCATGGCCATCGCGGTAGGATCAGAGGCAGGAATAACCTCGTGCGATTCCGGCGGGGTAGGGAAGAACGGCGGATAGATCGCCAGTTCTGCCTGCGAGAGAGCAAAGTCTGGCGCTTGCAGATCAAGGCGGATCTCTCGTTCGGATTTCCAGGCGGACCAGTAGATTGCTTGCTCCGCGATGCGGTTGCTCTGCAATGGCACTCCGGATCGGTTCCCAGGTCGAAGAAAAGAAAACTGTTGACAGCACGCCAGCGCCTGTAGGAAGTATCTCCACGCATGCTCCCGCTGGAAAATACTCATCATGTAGACCCCGGATAAAAACAGACATTGAGCCTCCCTCAAGCCTCCCGAGCAGAAGACGCTCCCGATGCGTTTCTGGGCCGCCGTGTAAAGGGATTGCGCAGTCTGGTAGACCTCGGTACCGGGATGTGTCTGGCACTGGTCCTCGCCGAATGGAGTGGCTAGTGTCCCCAATGCGCAGACTAACAAGGCCAGGCACGAGTCGGGAGACCAGTCGATCCCATGCATGGAGATGCGGGTAAAGAGGCGGCGCGTCTCGCGTTCGTTGAGGATGGGGTTCTTGACATGGACATGTGTGAAGAATCGGTCCACGGCTGAACCGGTAAATTGCGCATTGAGATCAACCGCTGCGAGATTGGTGGTGTCAGACCATGCTGGCGATACCTGCTCCTGCATTCCAGGGGTGGTAGGATCGAGCCCGAGACATTGCCACTGAAGGATGTTCTCCAGCGGTTGAACAAGCACCCGCGCTGGATCTACCGTCTCGACTTTCGAGGTTACCGTCGGCTTGGGTAGAACGTTTTCTGGTGATTTCGGAGGAAAATCCGTAGCGTCGCCCTGGGAGCGCAAGATGTGCTGTTCGATCTCGTCCAACCGCTCGAGAATTTTGATACTTGCCGGGTCGTAGCTAGAAAGATCCACGGGTGATTGGATGCATTTCGCCCCGACCTTTAGGCAGAATGAACAGGATGGCTTGAGGTTGTCGCATTTGGTGCGTCGAGCACGGCAGACCTGACAGGCTGTGACGGCTCGCTTGCGCGGATACGCAGCAGTGCCTCTGGGGGCGGGTCTTTTGGACGTCGTAGCTGGGGTTTGATTCGGACTTTGCGGGGAGGATGGCATGTTAGTGAGAGTAGACTATGTGCATGTCTGGTGAGGAACAAATAGCGGAGACGTGACCATCGCGGAGTATCGCTCTGGACGATGTCTTATAAGGTGGTCGAATTAAGGTTCGGTGGAGAACCGGCTTCCGGACGAAAGCCATAGCGACGAATCAGGCCGCACGAAGGAGCCGGTACGGCGCGGAATGTCGCTCCTTAGAAGGGTCTGATTCTGGAACTAGAACTGAAGCGGACCAGGCACTCTTGTGCTGGATATTTCGAGTAATCCTGGTAAACGAAAGCATTATGAGATGGAAGGATAATCCTTGCCCTGGGTTGTCTGCCTTCAAGTATAGTCTAAACTGTTCAGGTTAAGTCTATCAGAAGCATTCAAATTCAACAGCGTTATTATCATATAAGCATAATCAGTTGGTGAGCCTATATTATTACCAAGTCGACTTTAATTACCACCCTATAGATAGACCATATTCTACAGAGGAGGATGGTGGTGGTCACTTGTTGAGAACCAGCCATGGGCCATCAGCCACCGTCCACCTAGGTATGGTTAAGCGGAGTCTGTCTAGCCGAAAATCCGAGTTCCGGTTGATATCTTTTGAGGGGCAAAGTTTGATGCTTGACTTTCTCGGTTTCTCCCCACACAGACAACCCCAGATCATCCGGGGGACCATGAATCTGGCTACCTCCATCGCCCTCAATTACCCGGAAATGGTGCAGTAAGTTTACTAACTCACCACTCCTTAGTTAACATGGTTCGAGTGACATCTTGAGGGCATGTGGCCGGTTATTCTCCTGACGCCTTGCGCAAGATGTCCTGCATAAAGAGACCGTATCTCTCACCATTCTGCTGCAGGAGATCAGTTCCACACGCACCACAACTTCATATAACAAAGACAACATGGAAGACAAAGATCTCTCTATTCAGCATGACGAGGCTATTGGTCTATCTCCAATTGCCGACAAGAAAATGCACACCACAGCCGACAATGACCATGAGCATTCTCTGACCCTTCAAGATGTCTGGAAGCACCATAAAGCGCTGATCGGCTGGTCATTCTACTGGGCTTTTTGTGCTATTGGCTGGTATGCCCTATCTATTTACGTCTACGGATAGGAAAGATACTGACAGGGACATCAGGGGCTTCGACTCTCAAATCAACGGCGCCATGATCTCGGTCCCATCCTTCCGGCGCGACTTTGGCTACATCTTCGATAACGAGCCGGTCTTGCCTGCCAATTGGCAGACTGCCTTCAACGTCATAAGCTCCGTGGGAGGGTTCTTCGGTGGCTTCATCTGCAGCTGGCTAGCCGATCGCGCGGGAAGGAAACCCGCCCTGCTAGCTGCCATCCTCCTTTGCGCCGGTGGCTGTCTTGGAGAAGTCTTCTCCGGCACTCGGGTCGCCTTCCTCATATCCAAGCTCATTCTCGGAGTTGGCCTCGGATTCTATCTTACTCTCGGGCCACTAGTATGCAGCGAGATCGCCCCCGTTGCGATACGTGGCCTGTCCACTGCAGGCATCAACCTCGGTATCGCTATCGGCCAGCTTCTCTCTAACGCCGTCATCAAGGCTTTTGGCTCACGGACCGATCGCTGGGCATATGCAGGCCCGTTCGCCGTCCAGATGATCTTCACCGTCATTCTACTTTTCGGTTTGCCGTTCGTGCCTGAAAGCCCATGGTACCATGCTCGCAAGAATCAATCCGAAAAGGCGCTTAAATCCCTTCAGCGCCTCTGGGGTAAGGACTTTGACGCACAGTCTAAGCTCAGCGCGCTGCAAACTACCATCGAGGAGGAATCGCTGCAGAAGAAGGCCAGCTTCGCGGACTGTTTCCGCGGCACCAATCGTCTGCGCACGGGTATCTCCGTGGGCGTCTTTGCGTGCCAGCATTTTGTCGGCATCATTTTCGTCCTGGGCTACTCGACCTATTTCTTCCAACTCGCAGGACTCGACGAGGCGCACTCTTTTGATCTTGGAGTTGGTGTTACGGCCTGCGGAGTCGCAGGAAACATCACCAGCTGGTTTGTAGTGGAGCGCGTGGGCCGACGCCCAATCTTCGTCGGCGGCATGGCGGTATTGACAGTCCTCCTCTTACTGATTGGCATCATGGATGTTGTGCCTACCGGTGCTGCCAAGTGGGTGCAGGCATCCTGCACCGTTATCTACGCGTTCGTCTACTTCCTCACCATTGGCGCCATCGCGTTCGTCTTACTAAGCGAAACCTCGAGTCCGACTCTACGTGCTCGCACCACTGCCTTGGCTACCGCGACTCAGGCTGTGTTTGGAATTGCGATGAACTTTGCTGTTCCGTATATGGTCAATCCGGACGAGGGCAACTTGAAGGGCAAAGTGGGGTTTGTGTTTGGTGGGTTGGCTGCTGCTGCCACGCTGGGAAGCTATCTCTACATTCCCGAATTGAAGGGCCGAACGTTCATTGAGATTGATTACTTGTTCGTGAGACGTGTTCCCCCACGGAAGATGGGTGGTACTGTGGTGGAATGAGATGTGGACGGTACAGATGCGCCGAAGGATGAACGCTATGACAAGAGCAGAAATATGAGTCCTTCGTGGATTCTTGCAAGGCCACTTGATCCGTACTCTGAATAATACAGCCTATGTGCTACTGCCGAATAGGATACATTGATTACATTGTGAATATGGAGCGTTGATCCGTAAACAACTGATCCGGCCGTACTGAAAACGATATTTGACTCGATTGTAGATGGCAGCATAAGGATAGGGATCGTAAGGAACTACAGGTGAACTTCGGCACGCTTGAGGCAACGCTTACTGTGTCGACGGCCGCGAGTCGGTTTGGGCTGCCGAAATTCTTTTTGCATTTGAATATCGCGTATGCGATCCTAAGAAGCAAGGTGGGTTAAGCGGGGTTCGAATATTGAGGCAGCTAGAAGTCCATCCTACATGCATACACCCATGTGCTTTGACGTGCATTCAAATTATCAGATAGCATGAGCCTTATTAAGTCTCTTATCTATTGTAGGTCTATAGTCTATGGAGAATTAAGGGAATGCAAGAATCAAACGAGACTGCCAGTGCGGATTGAGAGCTTCTCTGGTCTGAGATTTGTCGATGACCCCACACTTGGTAAATCAGGAAAGGGGCAAATGAACTGAGGAATCAAGTATCTCCCCAAAAAAGGGTACAAGGAAAAAGAAAAAAGAAGAGGTCAAAGGGAGACACGGTTAAATAGGCAATTTAACCCAAGGTCCTTTCTGATTTTATAAACAGAAGTGCCACATAGCCATCGTGGCCGAGCCAAATCATTCGGACTTCTTGGACGCTTTCGTCCGCAGTTTCATCATCAAGTAGACCATGGAATAGGAACTGAGGATGAAGATGACAGTGATACCCGTGTCCCGCCAGGCGTAGTAACAGTCGTTCAGGTTGAGGGTCCGGAGGTAGTCGGCCCCGGTGCGGTATTCGCAGACACGACAGTGGCTGGTGGCTTGCGGATTCGTCAGGTGGGCATATTGGCCGGAGCCACCGGTTTCCAGATAAAGTCGAAGGTACTCGGTGCAGGTCTGCGAAGCCGGGGGATCGAAGACGGCGTACTCGGAATCGCGACAGTGCACCGGGGCGGAGAAGATATTGAAGGTCAGCAGGGCGCCCGAGACATACGTGTACGGTCAGACTGGGGAAGAAGATCTCCTCAGTATTGATCACAATCTGGCCCTGATACTGCTCGGCCTCCCGGCGATCCATCGTCCCGAAACGGACATCGCCCTCGACCGTCGCATACCCACGTCTTCGGTTTGCCAGCAGTTTGAGTAAGGTGGTACAACCGGACCCTGGCCGGCCAAGAACCAGCAACATTTCGCCCGGCCGGACACAGCCGTGGCTCCGATCCAGGGTGGTCGTCATTCCTTACTAGGCCCTAAGGTTCTGCCAGTGGTGCCGCACATTAAATTGGGACAGGAAATTGTAATTGATGGCGGCATCCTGGTCTTTCACCCGCACTGTGAGGTCCTGCCAGGTCACCGCGTGAGCCTCCCGCGCTTGCATCTGATGGACGCGATCAGCCAGCGGCCATATCTCAGGTGGTGCCGCGGCCGAATTCCCCGTGATTGTGGAGGTGCTGTAGCTGGGCTCGGCCTGATCCTCCCCGCTACAGGCGGCGCTCTGTCGTCCTCCGCCATGATAAGGTAACAGCAATCAGCAGCTCAAACCCCCTATCTCTCTTGGACCGAGCGAGAAACACGGCAACGCACAACTGTAACACAAAGAAATGCACGAAAGAGGGGAAAAAAGTGGAATAAGAAAGAGAGAGAGAGAGGCAAAAGTGGAGTAAAGAATGTACGGCCTAGTACCAAGAGAGGGGGAACATTTAAAGTTGGGGGCGACAGCTGGTCTGAAATTTCCCTGTCCGGCTCTGTGTAGCGGTTGCATAGACGGATTTCATGTCCGACACCAGGAGAGAGAGGGGAAGCCCTTTTGTATCTCGTCGCATACCACATTGCCAGAAGATAGCTAGGTCAAGTTCTTAGTATAAAACCATATAGTTTCCACTAATAGGTATGAACAGTTGGCCAAGCCCCACAAAGTGATACAGAACTTTGACAGAGCTTCGGCTCAGGCTGAAGGTATCTTAGTAGGGAACGGCAGATTCTTCGCTCGCTGCGGCCTCTGGCTGTGGTTTCATGCGGATCCAGCCCTGCCAAGCCCAGGTACCCGAGACTGTACGGAGTAGAATCTCAATTCGGATCTCACGAGACGGGGCGGCTGATGCTGGCAGGGATGAATGGGTGGCAGTGTTAAAAATCATTCTATACCTATAGTGATTTTTGAAGGTTGATGCGTATATATAAAACCCACCACTGATTTTATACCAACCTATGCCAGAAATGATTATTCCCTTATGTCTCACCAACGACTAGATATTTTGAATTGATATTTCAGGCGTAGATAGACTAGTCCATCTAGTGATATTAATATTTCTAAAGAAATCTTAGGATTTAGTGATTACTAAGTAAAATGGTGTGAGTTAGTTAGTTAACCTGAATGGATAAAACCTCAAAAACCATAATCAACAGTTTTAACTAAACTCGAATTGGTTTCACCCTAGGGAAACCGAGACACCTTGGACTAACCCACCCCATCCCTCGGTGCTTTTCTTCTGCACCCATGCATCGAAGACGTGGTGGTACTTGCGATATAGGGCAGGGGGTAAGGTCTGGATATTTTGTATGCAGATATTGGCAATGTCAGAGGGAGAACAGACTATGGCACTGACAAAACCAGATGCAGTAGTCATGAGCACTGGAAGAGATGCTGAGCATGGTCCTTGCTACTTTCATAGAGACCGATGCGGATAGAGCTATATGTCGCTGTAGTCATTAGCTAGGTCTATCATGACGATAGTGTGGAGGAATACGGAAATTGTCTGATGAATCCTGCAGATAGCTGGTATTGTCAGTAGATGTAATGCAGTGGTGTCGAAAATGTACCCCTCGGCATAACCCTGAAACACCCTCGTCCATAATGATGAGTTTAGCAGTGTGGATAGTACCTTGTCGCCCTGCCTCATCTGCATTCAGACCCCAACTGGATTAATAAGCACGCATCCACCGCTTTATTTGCTTGCCTCTCTCATGTCTAACGGATGAGATACCACCACTGCCATGCACGAAGCCGAACCTCCGAACCATGTCGGATAATCTATCCGCTTGTTCGCAGCAGGAAGGCAATGGATACCTCCTTATATTTCAGATGTATTCATGGTAACTATTGTTAAGGTCTGTGTATGTCTCTTCAGCCACTACAAATTCACAGTATGTACCGGTACTTCCATTTGTACCGCGTGTGGGAGCATTCCCTCAGTAGGATCGCCGCCTTGGACATATTTCTGGAAACCGAGAGATATCGCCCTTTGTCCCGCTTTGTGTAAATATTTAGGCTTGGCGCGAAGAAATACCTGAGACATCAGACGAGACCTGGAGCCACCGATGTGGTACCTTAACTACTTAAAAGGCAATGCACTGGAAGAATCAGATGTACATTGGTTAGCTTTTTCATATGATTATTTAGCGGATACAAGAGACTGCCAGCTGCTCCTGATTGATTTGCTGGCTCCATGGCTCATACTTGGTTTATAGTTAGAGGACAAGACATAGATTGTACGGATTAGGCAGTAGATAATCCAAGTGGGTAAAGAAAATTTTTTTAAGACACAACCCATCATTTCCTTAGGGTCCATCAACACGTTGTGATATGACATAATAAAGAAGCAACAAGGCAGTATTAAGTGACAGGGCCAAGTCTCCTCCATTAGGCCACCCCATATAACTCCACACCCATCGTACAAGCGTAGTGAACAGCACGATCAAAATTATACTAAAAATTCAGCACCTCATCTCCTAGTTCACTGTATATAGGACTGTGCTTACCTCCATCGGTTCTGTACAATGCTCTTAAGAGTCCTGATCCGCCGTGAAGGGACTGCTGAGGAGGAAGAGTAAGGAATTGATGTAGAAGGTTGTTTATCAGCATCCATCTGATTGAGTCTGACCATATACTAGATTGTGGTCAATGGGATAAAGGAAGAAAACAGATTTTCACAAAATGGTTACTGCCTCGGAATTGATGATAGTAGGATGAGAACAGATAGGGCCATGCTAGGTACTTAACCGACCCCTTCAACGAACGCTAACTGAGACACACCCCCACCCCCCCACTCACCCGGCACTTCCGAGGGCCTGTAGGGCTGTTATCCAGAATCCATATTCTGAAGACATGGATTTTATGTAATAGGAAGCTCTAGTGCTTCAATAGCACATGCTTTTGCGGATACCATTACATTATCTTGCAAGTGCAATTGTATATTCAGAATCAAGTACTTCCTGATATCCTACGCTAAACACGAACGCAGTACTATAAATGTTCGGGATGTGCCCCCTCCCACCCCCTAAACAACTGATTTTTCCATTGCAGGACTCTCTTTTGCTCAAATACTGGCATGAAATTCTTGGTTTTCCTTCTCTCTCTCTTGGCCTCCAGCCGGGTCACTCTGGGGGCACCCGCTGCCATTGTGGATCTCGCTGAGCTTCCTTCAGATACGAGTCTTGAGATCCGGTCTCTCAACCCAGCTGATGAGCCTCTGGCGATTCTGGAGCAGAGGGACTATAGGGTCTGTGAGATAGTCAGGCGAACAATTCGGACCATTGGCACCAGCAAGATCACATAAGACAGAGGCTACCTTTTCGCAACTCTGATGTCTGGAAAGCTAAGAAGTTCTAGGCTCGTCTATATCATAATGGGCTCGGGCCTTGCTCGATCCGTCTGTGAATATGTCGACGGCAGTAGATGTGCTGATCTATTGTACATTATCCAAGCCGGTCTAACCTTGGTCTATTATGCTGCTGCGCACTACTCGAGGGCCATCCCGGAAGGTCTGCCGACCAAACGTCAAGTCGATGGTTCCCAGGACTATGTGCGCCTATGGGAGACCATGCTGTCTAGCAGCGGTGATATCTCCTACGACAGTCTCGCACCACTTGCATTCCACTCGGATGATGCCACCCTGACTAGGCGCCAGGGAGAGCCTTCCCTTGTCCACCATCTCCAGGTTGCTGGTTTCACCCTTGACAACTCCCCCAAGCACGATATCATCGCCAACCACTATGACAACGGCGAGACCGTTCTCCAACTGCCCTTTCCAGGAGGGAGTTCTGACGCAAATGCTTCTCTGGGCTCCAATCTGCATAAACGATTCGATAAGCCGGGTTTCAAAATCTCGTTCACTACTAGAGAGAGGTCGAAGCTCACCCAGGCCCATCAAAAGTCTATGGCCCTTGCAGCGGCTGCTACGTGGGCCGTCTACGCAGATAACGCCAGCCACAAGATGAATGATTTCATTGGCTTTGCAGAAACAGAGCATGCGGCGAACTTCTACTACCGGATCATTCCCGAAATCAGAGGGTTCGGAACTAATTACGAAACTGTTGATGTTTGCGGCGGCATGGCATCATACTTGTAAATAGGTTCGGCATATAGCCAGTTAACATACCAGACGGCGCGTGGTTACTACCGGTCTGAAAATATTAATCTGCGGTAAAAACCACACCACTGGCTACATCGAATTGGGTACGTTAGATGCCCAGAGTCATGAAGCTACAGCACCTTGGACGTACTATTATGGTGACGGGATCGAGAAGGTTCCTATGAAGCAATCGAACTGCATCTATAAAAAATTGGACGTGTGGGATGAGGACGGCGGCATTGTGTCTGTAACTGGTTATAGAAATGGAGCATGCGACAAGTATTATCGACGGTGCCACACATATACGTGGACCTATACATGCAGGCCGGCTCGTAATAAACGAAGGATGAAGGTATCATGGTCTTCAAAGTTGCATTTGAATACCTACAACTTCAGACGGATGGATGGTTCTACTTCCGCGTCCATTATTTGAGACTTCGTCATAGATCAAACTATTCGTGCTGTTCCGTCTTTACTTTCAATCAGCGAGTCTTAAATCATGCAAAGCTTACGATCCATGTCTCGCCTGAGAACATAGACATATTGCATCAGCTCCCTTCGTATACAGGATGGCGATAGGCACATTAAATAACAACGTATGTCTGTTCTTGAAATATCGAGTGCGTTAGCTTGTCAATGGTCTTTACGTTTTCGGTGAGTTCAGCCACCGCCAACAAGTCTACACGAAAGACTTCAGGATTAAAGGAAGGAGAGAGACTTAGGCTCACTGTCACATCTCACCTCTCGCAGGATCTGCCTCCCCTGGGGAGTTGTACTACCCTTGTAGACGTACAATGGAATTAGACGCCAAGATATTGTTGTCGATGAAACCATTTCTGAGTTATGTACATGTCGTCAAAAGGCAGGCATTATCTATATAATTTAACAGCTTGTAGAGGACGAGTTATTGAAATATTAGTCTTCTACATCTTTCAAGTAACAATGTCAATGCTTGTTGTGCCTGTATTGAGCAGAGAACCTAGTATAATGTTCCCAAATCCGAGGGGAGGCCCCTGACAACATGAAATGCTGTCTCGAGTATAATAATACTCAGGAATACGAACCTCGACCGGTTAGTATCTGAGTCTGTGATGCAAATAATAGCCTAATTGTAGCATACATGGATTTGTTTTGCCCGCCATCTTTCCACTGGCTCGGATAATAAGGTATCAAACTATGTGCATGATTATATGGACCGGTTTGCTGTAGGAAACGGTATTATAATCTCTTCATACATTGGCTCTGTCTCTGGTGATATGACGCCATGGCGAATAAAAAGGTCGATGGCCACAACCGCACTATTCGGTTTAAACATTCCTTTGCCTAAGGCGTTAAGCACCTGGTCCACATTCCAAAGCCGAAAGTCTTCAACCTCTGAATCCTTCGGCCGGACAATACCTTCATCCAGCTGAAGCTCATATAGGTATTCGACCTCAGGTAACAGAACGGCTGTCGAGGAGCCCTCGCTCAAGGCAATAGACGAGCCTTTCATGTGGAAATACGAGATAGACCCGACGTATCTCATGCCATTCTCGATGATCTCACGCTCGATAGACGCCTCCTCTGTAGCCTCGAGGATCATCGCACTTCGCGGCGACTCTCCCGCACTCAGGGCCCCGGCGGCAGTGCAATCCAGCATACCCGGATAGGTCTGTTTCTGCATCGAGCGCTTGGCGATCCAGAGGCGGATGCCTTTTGCATCTTTAACGTAGCAGAGCATCTGCACGCCGCTGGTTATAATGCCGAATAGTGCGCTCGCTGACCGCTCGATCTCCAAGATCACATCACCGCCGGGTCCATGACTGGGATATGCTAATAGAGTTTGAATACGCGAGGATTAGGCATGAGACAGGAATAAGGCTAGAGTAAAAGGAAATATACAGGTATTAACAGAAAGCAAGCTCCTATACTACTATTATTAGGGGTTTAATCATTCCTTCTTATACTTTCACTTATCAGTGAATATCTTGTCGCTGCCACTGTAGACATTAAGGGGAAAGGAGCCACCAAAGCAGAATTTATCTCTTTTTTAGCTACTCCTAAAGCAGCCAACGTATTGACCTTCAGAAATTAGGATGGAGCATTCTCCACCAACCACATCGGCCTGCTACCCCCAAGCCTCGCATTCTAAACCACTCGGAGATACAAAGCATGCCAAAGACACGTGCGGCAATTTTGCCATTGGCTAGAAGTCAAGGTGAAAATGTACACTCAGTGCAGAGCATAGTGGGTCAAGAATCGGCCATGGACAGCGTAGGATGCGACGCTGGTCAGCTGCGCCCACAGTCCCGCGGGGTTTGGGGGGGGGGGGCCAAAGAGAAGGATTTTTCCAGCTGCACAGAAGATGCCTACTACATTACCTGGCCCCTCACATCCCTGTACATGGAGGAGACGCAGAAATAGTGCTAGACACTACAATCAGGAAGAGATTAAGCAGGGAAATAAAGCATTCACATTCACCAGCTATACAACACAAGGTGTAACTCGCCATGATCTCACAGGCCCCAGTGGCCCAACGGTGGCCACACGCGATAGGGCCGCGCAGGGACAAGGGAGACGTCAATAGCTAAGACACCAACAGAGCAATAGCTACTAATTAGTTAAGCTATCAGCAACTCTGAAGCTGAATAGGGCGAGAAAAGAGGAAACACAGACAACGCCATACTAGAAAGAGGCAGTGTTCAGATAATACAGCATCCTGGGAAGGGGGCAGTGCACTGTAAACAAGGCAGGCAGCAGGAGAAAAAGGAAGAGAAAGTGCGTCGCCCTTCAAAGGAGGGTAGACAGGGTTATATAGATCACGCAAGAGGCATGAGGCGGCAGGCAATAGGCACGAAAGCAGCAAGAGCACAGGCGCGATCCCCAAAATGGACACGCTAGGCCGCAAGGGGCAGTGGGACTTCGGCATGGGGCAGGCGGTGGGAAGCGGCAGACGGACGGTTCAATGAGGGCCGTTTTCAGCACCCCGCTAACTGTGTCATCGAATACTAATATTTAAAGTAGGAATAGCTATATTAGTATCAGAGGAGTGAGGTAGTAAGGGTTTTAAAAGAGGTAGTACAAGTTAAAAGTAAAATTTCATAGGTACGAGTTACATGACTGCTAAGGACTTACTAAGTAGTTTCACCATGCAAGACTAGAAAGGTGACCAAAGCTAAGCTGCAACCATGAAAATTCTTTTAAACTTGGCCAGCCACAACAACCAAGTACGCTTCCGTCAGATCAAAATTGAATTGGTTTATCTCCCTGTTGCTGTCCCCGACCTACGCTCTCAAAGTCTCTCCTGGTTTCTATTGTTATCGTCTAGTCCACCAGCCAAAGTCTATCTTGCCACCACTGACCATGGCCGGCGCCATACAATCATCTGATACAGACCCTGCTGAAATTATGCGTCTGGCCGTAGAAGGATTTCGAGCCAAAATGGAGGCCTCCAATCGTCGATTTCTACAAGATCGTATCGACGAGATTGAAGCCATGGGTCTCTCTACCGAGGAGGAGAAATTTAACGAGATGTCCTTGTACTGGCATGATTTAGGCGCCAAATGCGAGCCAAAGTGGAATAATACGGCCTCCCCAGGTCATGTTCGACAATCGCGCGAGGCGAGAAATGCTACACGGCTAGAAGATGTCAAAACTATCTATCACCAGTACATGGACGGAATCATCTCGCCAACTTTAGTAACTGATAAATGGCGCCAGATGTACTTAGAAGTCTTAAAGGGTGTATGCAACGAGGCAATGGCGCAGAATCAAGGGGGCGAGGATGAGGACTTCGAGATCCCAATGTGCTACGAACTAGGCCACTTCATCAAATACGCTAATGGCGTTCAAGATCCAGATTTCCGCCGCTCAGGTATTTGTCCATTTGAACCCGTCCCTCCTGTCGGAAGGGAGGAATATGCATTTCCAGAGCACGCGGCTGTGCTTAGACTTCCTACTCCTCGAGTCTCAACCTCTCGGGAAATATTAAAAGAATACCTACGAGGGAGAATACTTGATGAGACATTTATTCTAGGCACTGTGGATGAAGACTTGGAAGTCAAGGTTGGATTTCAAACTGGCCTCGGCTGTCGCGCAGGACATGACGAATGGTACAGCGCCTATCTATACTGTCGTCGATGTGATGATGACTCTGACCCATCTCTCAAAGACTGGGCCTGGCGTGTTTCGTTCTTCCGGGCTGATGTTGGAAACCCGACTACTCTTTACGGGCGGTATCCACGATTTGATTCCATACCCGAGTTCTTAGATTGGTATAGCAGCTGGCTGGTTTACGTGGATATGAATGAGGTCCGGAAAAACGTACGGTGCCTCTATGGCGATGATGATTATTACTCAGACATGAACTAAGGAGTTTTACTCAAATTTTGTTCATCCAGTTCCTTATGTATATCTTTTAATTTATCACAAGATCATGGACTCAGAAATAGTGTGATTTATTATTAGAGTTATCAAGCCACCTTGACGATGCCTAACCTGTCGACCGTGTTCATCAGTGCGAGACCAAGCATAAAGTGGCATTCTCAGAGCTCTCTTCGCAGGAATATGGTCCTCACGACATATGAAACTAGATAGCATAATTGGACCAAAGATTCTAAGCTGAAGAATTGCCCTGTGCCCAACCATTCGCTTTGACAAGGAGAACCTTGGCGATTAGCATACATAGTTTGGCTGACTGAATAAGATGGAGCCGGCTATTATATCTATATAGTAGGTATAAGTATCTAGAACTCTAGAAAATCTAGAAAGTTTTACAAGCTCTGACTGTTATATTTAGCTTCCCTCTATCTACTAAAGTTACTGCTCTGCTGTAACCATTATTTAACAAAACCTAAGTATACTAGAATAGCCTTCTTATTTAAGTTTATTTACTATACATATTTAATTACTAGGAATACCTTTAGAACTATCCTATATCTTTAAATGCGGCCAAGCTTCATTAAATAATATTAAGCATTTACTAGGCAGATGAGGAACTATCATCTACTTTATCTTATAGGGATACACTGTTGCTACTATTATAGATATACTTAATATGTAAGGCCACTGATGCTTAGCAGCTGTAGTTAGCTATAAGGTAGAGGGTGTTATTAGACAGCATCCTTATTTACTATCAGTGTTGGGACAGTAGAATATAAGTAAGGTAGATTAGTGGCTAGACCATCTAAGTCTAGTATATAATGCTATGAATGACTTTATTAGCTATAATATATTAGATGTAGCAATTACTAGATAGGTAAGTAGCTGTCCAAATGAGATTATTAAAAATATGCTAATAATATACTAGTATTGGATTACTAACTAAATTCTGCATACTCTAGCCTAAGTAATATAGTACTATAGTAACTGCCACTCATGCATGGAGGGTCAGAGCTCTGGTAACATTAGTACTTAAGCCTTTTTCTTGTTAAATACATATCTATAGATGGATGAGCATTGACACTCTGCCAAAATAGATATAGAGATTGATTACTATACCAGTGCATAGAGATGACTAACGATGAGCTCTCTGCCCACTATGGTTAAGGGCAGGGGAGGAGATGGGAGGTCATAGAAGGGGATGCAGAGGAGTGGGCAAGAAGTGGATGGTAAAAAGCTTGTGAAACAGTGTTATAGAATGTGCTTATCATGAATCTTCTAGCTAGGCGCTGGCATCAGGCGGATACCCTGCGGGGCCAAGTATACTCGACATTTAGCCGCAGATGGCAGTAGGATCCCTGTCTATAAGAAAGGATAGGCGAGTACTGTAATGGTCGTCATTGCGTGGCCAGTAAAGCTAGCTCCCATTTGACACCAACTGGTTGTAGTAAAACGGAGAAGGAACTCTTTGCTTGATCGTAGAAGGCCATTACATAAATATACCGAGAAGCATGATAGGCAGTAATGACAAGTGATAACAACTAGTGGTTCATGGACGTATTGAAATACAGCTGACAGTGAAACTGGCCAAGCTATTGCGATTGTATTGTCCGGAACAGCCGCTACGGTCACTCTTCTTTAGCATCACGGTGCGTCTGCGTCGCGCCGCTCGATGTCTCATGTCTCTTACCACTGCCTCGTTCGTCCTTTGCTTTGGGCTGCTATCATCCATTCCTTGGACGGCATGTACGAAAGCACGTTGTCGACAGCCAAATGTCAATTTCATTATCGTGGTTAGCAAGTAATTCTATCCCCGATCGGCGAGTACTTCCTGATAATAGGTTCCAGAATCTCATGGACAACAGCCTATTGAACCCCAAGAGGGGCTTCTATACGACACTCTGTGTTTAGGAATTTTGTCAAATTGGGCGAAGAATGGGAAGATTTTCGAAAAATAAGGGACCAGCGCAAATGGCCCACGTCATATACCCCACTCAATACAGTCCTGGTCTATACCAAAATACGATTTTTCGTTCAGCTGTGTTACATAGAGCACCGCGAAATTAGGAGAAGATAGCTCTTCTGCTGTGCTTGCATGGACCCAAGATTGGGCGTGTTTGGCTTCAGTTATTTCCCCATGGAAATGCCCATGTCTAAGGCCTGTAGGGAGTAACACTTCAGACGTCTCGGGTTGAATAATAATCAAAGTGATAACTAGGTTTAACTAACAAAGTTAGAGCCTCTGATTTATAAGCCCTGAATCCACTCTAGTTGACTCACTCACGCCACATGTCATTACTAATGAACCCTTATCTCCGTCGGAAAAATCCGAGGTGGATCGCAACTAGCTAGAGGAGTATTGCGATCTCTGGTCACATCGGGATCGGGGCAATTCAACGGGCCATCTTAGTCTCGATTTGGTAAATGGTGCAATCATCCCCATTGTTGAATGTGCCAATTTACATAGAGAAGCTTCGATACCTGGTTTATAATTTTGTTGGTTTAGCCACGGATTAGCAAGCACCCTCCGTGGTAACCCACGTCATGGTTGTAGATGGAGTTAAACGGACTGAAAATAATTATAAAAAGCTTGTCACACTTCAGTATACATATGATATTCCAGATAGCCTTCCATTGCATACTTTACTTCCTGTCGCCGCGAGAAAAGTTTTAGTCTCCGGTCGCGGTCGTTCTATTCACATTATGCAGGCAGTCATCCGAGAATCCCCTTTCGGGCAGCTCGTCCGTCTCGTAACAAAGAACAAATACTTTCAATATCCTGAGGAGAAGGCAGACTTCAAGCTACCTGATCTATGGGTTAAGGTCATGGACGGGTCGGACGCTGAAGCCGGCTCCGAAGACGCTCAAACCGAAGCTCAAACACCACCACAACATCGCAACAGTGGTGAAAGTCTCAGTCACGTCACCGCCCAATACAGCCTACCCTTCACAGAAGCACGCCTCCAAGCGGACGAGCAACATGATATCGAAAAAGTCAAGTCGATACCCATTGCCCCGAAAACGACCAAAGATGGCGCTATCCTGGTCGACTGGTACCATACCGATGATGCCGAGAATCCACACAATTGGTCCAATCTCAAGCGCGCTCTGATAGCAACAATCATCTGTCTCTATACTTTTGTGGTATATACCACATCTGCTATCTACACTTCGTCGGAGGGAGGGATCATTGCGGAATTCGGCGTCAGCGAGGTACTCGCCACATTGGGGCTCTCACTGTACGTGCTTGGATATGGGATGGGTCCCTTGCTTTTCTCACCGATGGGTGAGATCCCCATTATTGGGCGCAATCCTATCTATATCGTGACCATGTTCCTCTTCGTCATCATATCCATTCCTACGGCTTTCGTGGGCAACTTCCCCGGCCTGATGGTGCTTCGGTTTCTGCAGGGATTCTTCGGTTCTCCATGCCTTGCCTCGGGCGGTGCTTCAATTGGCGATATGTATAGTCTTATGTCTCTGCCCTACGCTCTGATGGCCTGGGTTGCTGCTGCGTACTGCGGACGTAAGTCTAGCCCCCTAATTTTTCCATTCAGTTTCCTCGGTCCTAACGGTATGATATAGCTGCCCTCGGCCCACTCCTCAGCGGTTTCTCCGTCCCAGCCGAGTCCTGGCGCTGGTCTCTCTTTGAATCGATCTGGGCCTCAGCACCCGTGTTTCTCCTCATGTTCTTCTTCCTCCCCGAGACCAGCACCCCGACCATCCTGCTTAGGCGCGCACGCCGTCTCCGCCGAATCTATAACGATGATCGCTTTATGTCCCAGTCTGAGATCGACCAGCGCAATATGCGCATTTCAGATGTAACCGTGGATGCGCTGATCAAGCCTATGGAAATCACAATCAAGGATCCCGCCGTGCTTTTCGTCCAGATCTACACCGCTATCATCTACGGCATCTACTACTCCTTCTTCGAGGTCTTCCCGCTGGTCTACCCGGTCGACTACAACATGAACCTCGGCCAGATTGGTCTAGTCTTCCTATGTGTCTTAGTATCTTGTATCCTCGGGATTGCCATCTATTTCTCCTACCTGTACTTCTGGATGAACCCGCGCATCTCCCGCTTTGGATTCCCGGCGCAAGAGACGCGCCTAATCCCCGCGTTGCCCGCTTCGTTCGGTCCAACAATCGGTCTCTTCCTCTTCGCTTGGACAGCTCGCGCCTCGATCCACTGGATCGTGCCTACGATCGGAATCACCATCTACGGCGCGACCGTATTCATCGTCATGCAGTGCGTGTTTGTTTATATCCCGCTCAGCTACCCTAAGTACGCTGCCAGTCTGTTTGCTGCGAATGACTTTTTCCGAAGTGCGTTGGCTTGTGGTAGTGTGCTCTTTGCGCATCCATTGTTCGGCAACTTGGGCGTTGCTCGCGGTGTCAGCCTCCTTGGTGGACTGAGCGTTATTGGCATCATTGGTATCTGGTTGCTTTACTTCTATGGTGCGAAACTGCGTTCCTTGAGCAAGTTTGCTCTCTCGCCCGGTGCTTCCTTTGAATAAGGCTTTACGACAGTGGGGATTGAGGCTAAAGGAGCTAACAGTTAATGGTCTGTTGAGGGTGGTGTTTTCGGAGTCTTTTTAGACCGGATGTTGTCTTTGATGCAAGATTGAAACGAGAATGAGAACGATACAGTATACTATTTGATTTATTTCTTGATTGATTATGGCCGTGGGTTCCCTTCCTGGCAGTCCCCTTGTCCCGCGGCTGCGAGCCCTTCCTGATGCTTCTTCAAAATCTAGCACAGCTCCAAAAGTGCTACAGTAGTAGGTTCAGAGCCGTCAGACCTCTTGCCCCTCCCTGGCCGGTCCTCGTCGCCTAGCTGGCTTTGTGGAGTCATTATGATGGGTTCGTAGGTGAGACGGGCAGCATTTGTCTGCATCTGATTTCATCTCCGCTAGAAATCTCGTCAAAGCTGGCAATGCTAAATGGAGGAATCTTGGTGATGACTGTGTTGCTGATACCGTTTTGTTGCGCGATCGATTAGCCGAGTGCTTGCTGGTGGTTTCATCAATGCCTTTGCTAACAGCGCCGGGATGTCGGTCGCCGGTAAATGTCTATCCCTTTTAATGCCTTTGCGATATTGTCCTGAAACGAAAAGCGATCAGGTCGCGCCATCATCGGCGGAGGTGGTGGTCTCGCCAAGGTAGCCGCTCCAGCTCTCATTCAGGAGATTGCCCATCCTCGATTACGACCGATGTTAGCTTCCTGCTACTACCCTTTCTTCTACTTTGGCAACCTGCTATCAGCGTTACTTTGTTGTAGGTGGACGTAGTTTAGCCCTGCGTCATCAGCCGGCGTGCGCTAAATTAGAGTTCTTCCACAGTCGCCGCGCTTTATATCCCAGGTGACTGGTCATGGCGGACGCCTTCGATTGTCCAGATCGTGGGACCTATAGTGGTACTTCTTACACTGATAAGCTGCCCAGAATCTCCAAGAGTGAGTTACGACTGCAACATGCGTGACGCTCTCTTGACTAATCCGCCTTGATCCCAGTGGCTTGTGTCTAGGAACAAAATAGCGGAAGCCTCGTCTATATTAGGCAAGTATCACGCCAATGGTGTTCTCGACGACCCTCTCGTCCAATGGGAATTAGTTGAGATCGGAATGGCGCTGGGGAAAAGAATACGTCGGACATCATGCGTCCTATCGAGACTTTTTCACGACTGCGGGTAACAGAAGGCGACTTGTTGTACTATTGTCTCTTTGTATAGGCTCCAATTGGGTCGGCAATAGCATTATCTCCTAGTAGGATCAGATTTCCAACCTCTATTTGTAGGTTGTGATTTTTAGTAAGGAAAGAAATGCGGCAGTATGTTTTCCTATGGATATCAAAGGACTAATAAATTCCATTTAAGAAATAATTGGACTGGGGAATATGTATATCCAAGAAAATGAGAACCTCTCCCTAGGAAATACTTCGGATACTTCCCCTATATAGCTCCACCCTCTTCACTATGTATATACATCAGAAAACTCTGAACGTAGTTAAACAAAATCTATATACTGCATAAACTAAATTATAGAAGTAGTTGTGTTACTACTCACGATATTCCCCTGTGTGTGGGCGAACCAAGAGAAGGAACTTGAAGAAGTTCAAAAAGGCGAGTCCTGTGTAGGTGACAGGAACATAATAAGCTCCACGACGAATCCACCATAGTGCCACACGGGCAGCCCAATCTGGCGAAACAATGGCTTTACCCATAGGTGATTCAAACGCCGCAGGTACTATGTGACGGTAGATTACCCGAGCATCGTCATATAGGGCTCGAGCATAAGGTAGGAAGGCCCGCTTTGAGGCGGAGTAACGTTGCATTTCTGGGTTCCCCCATGCAGGATGAACTTCAATCTCGCTGCCTACATACCATATCTCCGGGACTGTCTTGTTCTGGCGAGTATTGCCAAGAGCTTTGCGTCCAAGGAAGATTTCGATGAGGCGCATGGTCGAGTTGCAATTAGCGTCCATGGCATCCATCCCTTTGGTACCATGTGCTAAGATAAGGATATCAGATTTTTCGAAATGGCGGCTGACGCCAGAGAAGTCATGATGAGTCCAGTCTTTTCCAAAGTGTATCTTCTTAATATCCTTCACCCCTTCCGACAGGAGCTGTTTTTCAATTGCGCGCCCAAACGCGCCAGACCCGCCTGTGAGGATGACCCTTCTATTTCGAAGAGAGCATGCAGTCCCCGCTACCCAGTCAAATACTTTGACCATCGAGCCCATGTATCGATCGGGATGCACGTGGTGTAAGGCGTGGTATTCGGGTCCGACAAAAAGCCAGCTATGGTCTTTAGGCACGGTGTCAAAGGCGATATGGTTCGAGTCTCGACCGCTCATGGCAATGACAAGAAGCGTTCGCATAAACTCAAATCCAGATGCCACGAGTAAAGGTGCGGTATCGATGGTTCGTTTATTATATGCCATTAAGTGCTGGGCAAGTAGCCATCCTGCTATGCTTCCCAAAACTTTGCAGATCATTTCAAGAGGTAATGCGATCCAGGAATTTTGTCGTGAGTATCGATCGTTGAACTTTAGCGAGCGGTTGTAGTAGAGATGATGAAATTGGTGGCAGTATGAAAGCCAACGAAGGAATCTCCACTGTGATCTAGACCATTTGTGAAGGAGCCAATGGATGGTATCGAATACTAACGTGCCCGTTAGATAGAGGTAGGAAAAAGACAGCCCAAATGCAAGGAGAGACATGGTTAACTCGCACTCGAATTGCTATAAGATTGACTTCGTCGTTTGAGTCATCCTGTGAGCTCAATATAAATAAGATAAGTACAACAGTCGATGCAAGGAAAAACACATGGTGAGCAAATTTCCCTCGTATTCCTCTCGGGAGTTTTTCGGCCTGTGGGGTAATAGCATTTGTTTAGGTGCTCGAGGCCCACGAAGTCGACACATTTCACGTCCCCCAGGCATTCTACGAGAAGCACCCCCCAAAGACCCATCTGAAAGATTTGGACGAGTACAAGAAGCTATACTACGAGTCTATCCGTAGCCCTGACACCTTCTGGGCCCGCATAGATACCGTTTCACAGTCTCCTGAGACATTAGCATCGCCACGAGCCATACTCAATCCTAGGATACCTAACCTCACTACAGGGCCACAGCCACAGCTCTGAGACAAAGGTTACCTTAAACGCACAGTGTAGGGATCAGTGTTAACATACTTTAGTGAGCTTAGGTCTGGTTCACACCTGGAACACGAAAATGTGGTGGAACTTCCCTTGCACCGTCTCAGTTTTCAATGGTAGGCGGAATTGACCATAATTACAGCAGGAACTTCCGACATGGCGCCTTGTTTTAGATCCGATATCTCTAATTCTCGCGATGTCCCAGCCGGTGTCATCTAACCATCCACATTCGAGTACGAGAGTTAGTACGCGAAACCGGACTATGGATGCATCAATGTAGCTGCCTAGTAACGGTGTATAAAATGCACTCATTGTATTTTGGCCCACTTGTCTCCTAACCAAAGCCGGAGCGAAGAAGTAAAATTAGATTATCTAGTCGAACATGCCCCACAAACCACTCCAAAATTGGACGCAAGTTTAAAACAAGTGCCCGCTCAACGGAGATCAACAGATCCATCAAAGTCTCCTCCCTTCCTTAGCAGTTACTACCTCGTGGCTTGCTGCTGCTTACCGATGTTGGAGATTTTAATGGGGACACTTCAGCGTCGTTGTATATTTGCTGAACAGCGCTTAGCGCCGCTGAGGTATCAAATGACGCCGTGCGAATGGGCCGCAGACTGAATACAGAGTTGAGGCATATTAAGAGTAAGATATGGCACTAACGGCCCTTGATTATACTGAGAGTAAACAATATATTACAAGTTAGAGTTAAATATTCAACAGTAGACAGCAAGAAAAACAAAGGCAAATGTGGATGCCATGCTACCTGATTAAATGTTACCATTTGATGCATTGATCAGCCTCCACACCAGGCTTAAGCGAGCATTTAAATAACGAATATTAGCAGAATTTGACCATTCTAGAACACAATACTCCCGATGACACCCGATGACATACTCCAGTTCCCTGTGCGGGACAAGAGCGAGCAGTTCCATTCATCGCCCTCTTTGCCTATGAGAGGCTGATAAGCAAGGTTATACAGTATATCTTAGCACAAAAAATGAGATTGACTCACTCTTCATGGCGATTGCCAATGGTCATCAATTCATCACTATTTCGAGATGAATGCAGTGGGTAGGTTTGAGCAGTTTTATCCGCAGCAGCCAGAGTGGTTCTCAGAGTAGTGTGGGGTAGCGAGGAGGAACATACGAGTACGAGTTGCAGCCTAATTCTACTCCCTATAACCGAAGACTCCACTTTTGAATGGAAGTGTTCTTTGTCCTTCCCTGCCCAGCCCTTTTGTCACAATCTAGCATACACAGCTCCGCACTTTTGCGCTTTCACAATAAATATTGTACAGCTACTGTGGTTGCATGGTGGCCGAGTGAGAATGTCCTCTTCTGATACAAAGCTGAATTATGCACTATTAGTAACTGGAAGTGTCCCGACTCTCCAAATCATACTTTCGACCCACTCTAGGCTGAGAACACTATATTTACAACCTACTCTATTTGAAACCAGTACTTCCGAATGCGGAAGTACTAAATCTATAGAAAATAAATTAATAATGAAGTAGCCTAGCCTAACCGTCTTGGGCAGTAAATCCCGCCAGAGAATTTGTGGAAAGGCTTGGGGTTCCAGGGAACCTTGCTACCGCCCTGGGATCTCGCCAAGACGGCTGGTCCATGCTAACGTTACAGAATCACTGGCAACCTTTTCTCACAAAGTAGTCAATCAGGAACAACAATGCTGTAGCCTGAACTATTTTTGATGATCTCGACAATAACCCAAAGGCCGTGCAGAATTTCCTGAGACCAAGTTAAGCTGTAAGTATTCTGCATGTGGTTGAGGGACAGAGCAGTTTTAGTGCAATAAATGCGGCCAAGTCTACCGAATGCTGATCAATGATCACATCTTTTCACCCCTTCACATTCCTATCGAATAGAAAAAGATTAAAGACGTCTGAAATGTCACCCACTCGTTTCGGAATCTTAATGGTTCCTTACCAAATCCTCGATGTCGCTGGGCCAGTGGACACCTCTCATGTTCGCGGCCGTACCTCGAAGTCATGGAACGGGACGGTCAGGTCTCCAAAGTCACCGCAGCTGCCGAATTTTACTACGTTGGTAGTGAGTTGTAGCCCGTCCAACATACCGGCAACCTTCAGGCACTGCCGACGACCACCTGCGACACATGTCTCTCGATTATCTATTAATCAGTGGACCATAACCGGGCTATCAGCTTTCGGAGTGTTTTGAATCCTTCATTCGACGTCGATCTCAGGAGGTCAAGGCCATATTTACAACATGAAGAGGCGCTTTGTTGCTGGCCCAAACGGGGCTACTGGATGGTAGGAATGCCACTGTTAGCCATGTGCTTCTGCCCCAAGCCCGAGCACTGTACCCGAAAGTCCATTGGAATGACTCCCAGCAGTGGGTCACGGACGGATGCTTCTGGACTGCCTCTGGAGCATGCGCAGGAATGGATATGTTTGCGCACTGGGTAATGGAAAATTGCCATCCTCAGGTTGTCAAGGCCAGCTTCATGATACTGGACTATACGCCCAGAGACATCCACAGACAGCATTTGACTATCCCAACTCAGTGAAGCAAGAGGCATCCCTTCTTCTGTGAGGTTATCGGGGAACTGCGGTGCATGGATTGATGCTTTGCCCTTGTACCCGGAGCAATCTGGGTGTACGACCAGTATCTCAACTCTCCTTTTTTTTTTTGTCTCTCCCTTCTGTTCTTGGGGTTGCATATAAAACATAAGTGAGAGTGGCAATAAGATCATATTGCTTTTGCTATGGCAACGTAGTTGTCTTCAAATGGGAGTAATGGTAATGTGCCTTGAGAGATAAGCGTCAAACTGCGCGGAACTGCTGTGAATAGAGGCTTCAAAATCGCTCTGGTAATCGTAAAAAATCTCGTATAGGCTCGGATCTATTGGAAACCAATCCGGTGTATAACAGGGGAATATTACTGCCAATCTTCCTTCAGATTACGACAACGATGAGCCGGGTGAGCAAGAGGGTCAGCCAGACAGTCTAATGGGAACTCGATCGTACATTGAGTAACCTAGAGCCGACCAGGTTAAAATGAATAGGCAGGGCGCCTTTGACCTTGATGAAACAGGTTTGAATGGGCACACTAGCTAGGAGTTCATTTCCAGGCAGGAATCTGATTGTTGGATCCTAAATATTCCTCCTGAATAGGAAGAAAATGCCGAACAAAGCTCTCAACGGGCGTCCCTCGCCCTGTAGTAACTGTCATAAATATGGACAGAGGAGAAATAAATGTTCTTATTGCAATAGATCAATTAAGCAACAATGTTTGAATTTACCGACCACCCCCAACGTGTATGGAGGGGTGCACCTCCTTTCTTACCAGTTGCGGTACATCATGAGAAGCACTGTATGGTGTAGTCATTTTTGGGGGGTTAAACTGCATAGTCAAGAAAGCGGCAATAGATTGTTGTGGTTTTGATGGCGGAAATATATTCCAATATGAAATGCTTCTATCCTATTACATCCTGTCCTTGCCCTCTACGGCGGACTCAGATCTGTGCGTCTTGTGTCAAGAATGACACCTCTTTGTTCAAGATCGTCAATCATCCTATCGAGGGAAAAGCCCTTTCTGTCGTAGTCGAAAACTCTCGATGCCTTCCCGCGGAGAGACGCTTAGTCTCGGGGAACATGAAGTAGATGAAACAGAAGTAGAAGCCCAAGATGGCAATATATACAGCGTAACTGAGCAAATGATGGTTAGAGATTGGGCAACAAAGATATTGGAGATCCAGACCACTTACTATCGCCATGCAGAGGCCTTGAGCGCGATCGGATTGACGAATTGGTTGAACGTGTTGCCCAATGTGGCGGTACTAGTGAAGAGAGCCATTCCTCAAATCGGATGCTAAAACGCATAATCTCAACGGTATACGCTACAGGAAGAGGAGTGAATGCGATGTCATAGAACCCAAAATAGCTATGTTCAAAGGTCAGACAGGATCTCTTCGCTCTTGAATGTGCAGCACGACTCACATAAATAGAAACGGGATTACGGCAATTCCCAGTGCATGATTTTTGGTATTGGAAAAGCCAGCAGATAAGCTCATGACGACGACGTAGGAGCATAGCATGCCAGCAACCGATATCAGGAAAAGAGGTCGACGACTGAGCTTGTCACAGTACACTGCGGCTGTGCCAGCGAGGATCAAGTTCCAAAGAGCTTTAGGGAAATCAGATAATCCTAACAAATTTGTCTTTAACGTGAAAGGGCAAGGAGAGGCATATCCTTACCTAGACCGGAGTTGATCAGAGTGATTTGGCAGGAGGGGTGACACCAACAGACTTGAGAATTGGCGACAGATAGCTAGGGCAGTATAAGCTCGGCTGCCACGTCGCATGCTGCTGCGTTCTATTTACTATGAGATAATACCATTGCCCATCCAATTTAGAGAGCATGCCAAAGCTACAAGCGTTGCCAAAAGTCTTCAGTTTCCAGGTGTCCGCAGGAAGTCCAATATCGTCGAGTTTTGCTGGACAAATTCACGTTCAATGGCGGCCCTAATTTGCTGCGTCTCAAGCTGGACAAGGGCATCGTCCCTGTCGCCGTTGGCATGAAACCTGGCAAGGACATCAAGACCCTCCTCCTCTCGGCCCTTTTAATAAGCTACTAGATGACCATGTAAGCTTTCTGAAACACCAACCGAATGTATAGGAATCGCTGTGCATCCAGTGCGTGGATAACTGCTCTTGCTTGTGTTGAAGGACATTATGGACAATACAATCACTACAAGCTAGTTTCTCTTGTTGCTCAGCTCACCGAACGTCCACCGGATCTTATACTTTATGTTTAGAAGGGAACGAGGGGAATGTTAGAGAAGAATTTGTATCCGAGAATAACTTGCCACCGAAGAGCTGCTAACTGCTTGCTTAGGGGAATAGAGTTGCTTCTCGATGTTGTTTAAGCTGGAGTCCGTAGGAACTTCTTAGTGCCGGAAATCATATTCAACATTGTAGTTAACAACCATGGAAGCTGAAGGTCCTGCCTGTACGCTGGGTGAAGACAGAACTTCAAAATTAGAGTTTCGATCTATTTAGGGCACATTTTCCGCCAAGTGTTGTTTGACTTTTGTATAAGCTCCTACCTTGACGATTACGTAGTTCGCAAACATCTTACTGCCGCACGAACAATTGGTCTGTGAGTTACCCTCAGCTAGGTAACTAACAAATCAGTTATACCACGAATTTTGGCCGCGCATGGAAAACTGTTTTGCTAAGTCCAACGGTATCCAGGTGTCAAGTTCTGGCTCAAACCGCCGCGATGACCCTGATGCCTTTAATTTTACCATATGTTCCTTCCAATGTCGAGCGTGCTGGCTACAATATAGATACTTGAACCCAAGGTGGAAGTTAGAAGAATCAGACCTTCATCTCTCGTACGTTCCGATACGTTTTACCATACATCTATGGCCCAGAATCTGTGCGCCTTCTATCATAGCTTTGGTGTGCGTTTGCCTCATTTCCTCCGTTCGAACAACTGTGTGGGTTTGGCTGAAGCAGAAGGAGGAAAGAGGAGAAAAACTAGTGCTTTCTTTTCACTTCTTCTTCAGCTTGCGAGAGCGAGAGAGTGCTATATTTAGTCCTAATCGTTATAGCACCCTTTGAGATTCTGCGCATGACGATGGTAGGAATACCATACCCCATGGCATAAGGAAACGGATTCTGTTCCTATCTCACTTCGACAATGGGAGCCAGAGAAACCATGGACCGCAAAGGCACCACAAACCTGCCTATTCATGTTCGAAGAGACAATAATATCGAAGAAAGATTGCTGAGAAAAAAGGCCAAGAAATATGGAAGGGGAAAAATGCATTGATTGGAACCATCAACTTGAAACAGGTAGGATGCGGAGTTTACAGAATCTACCTTAGAAAAGAGATACGGAGGTGTGTGTGCTATGCTGTATTTCCTGTCCCGTGGTAAATTCTGAATGGGATGATTGGCGCTTAGTTAGTTAATATATCGCAAGTTTGTTGCAGAGAACCCTGGCTGAAACAGTGGAGACTGAGAAAAGGAGTTCGAGGACAACGCATCTAAAAGAAGGAAGGTGGGGGGAAGCCTAAGTGATATTCTAGGCCTCAAAAAAACTATAATAAACCTTATTAGAGCGTCTCGATGGCTATCACCGCCTGACCTGGAAAGTAAAACAAAGAAAGGTGGTCGAGAGATAAAGAAAACGGGCCTGTCCGGCAATGCCATCTTATTTGCCCATACAAAGCTGGTCAGGGCGTCTTATGCTACGATCCAGGGTGTTTCATTCTCATCTTAGGACTGCCTCTTTAGTCCACCGAGGACAGTTACTGGACTGCATCTGGTCAAGCAGTGGTCAGACTCGGGCACTGCAACATACGTATCTAGTCATAGAAACCGCATTTTTTGTGACTCCTAAGCCTAGGCTACGCTACGTCGCATGTTGTCACATGGCCCGATCCGCTATCGTGAACGTATGGAAGATAGTCAAATTTCAATGTCCGTCGTATCACCACCTGCGGTTGAACTCGACTGAGACATCCTAAAAGAATGATAATATAGGGGATTTCAAGTTAGGTATTTAGAAATACTCTTTTTATTGATTTTAGACTTGTAGCAAATTTCAGAAAGTCTAAAGTTTCCCTTTCAATGTTACGACCTCCGCGGTTAAGTTACGTGTACCCCGCAATTTTCTTATCTCAACCACAGGACCGGACCGACCGTATAAGAACCGCCGTCGTTGCAGGACCGACAGACGCTGGGCTCTCGGCAATTGGAGTTTGCGTGTGTGGAACTCGATCTCAAGACCTCCAAAAAATATGTCTGAAAGCTACGGCTTATGGGCGTAGGTCCCGGAAATTTCGCACGTCCGACCACCCGAAAGCCGGTTTCTGGCACCATTCAAATCGCCGAAATACAACGCAGAACGAAATACGAGTCCGGCAAACAATCCAGAACATCTGTACCGAACATGGTGAAATAGCAGTAGCTTATTCTCGCTACCTTACTGGACTTCCATTTAATACTGTTGAAGGAGAGGAGCAAAATGGCTTACGTAAGGCGACTTCCTGCCTTATGGGAGGTTGCTACTAGGGCGACCACCCAACCACGACTCTTCTGTTTCCTTCTTTCTCTTATCTGTATCTAGCCATCCACAAGATCAATCAATCATTACCATCATACAAACATCGTTCTCCATCTTAAGTTTACAATACCCAGCCCAGCGTTCGTCTGTCGCTCACCAATCACCTCCAACTCTTCTTATTGCGGTCCTCATCTTCTTTTCTCATCGCTCTCATAATCGTTTCTCGGCCATGCAGCGTGTTCAGGGCCTCTGGCCCATCACGCGCCCTATATTCAGTTCGCGGTCGGCTGCCATCGCAGTGGTAGTACCAACTCGACCGCTATCAACGACAGCAACGAGGCACAATGCAACATCCGAACCACATGTTGACGAAGTGACCGATGTGTTGATTATTGGCTCTGGAGCTGGCGCCCTCACGGCCAGCCTGCGAGCAACAAAACTCGGCCTACGCAACATTGTTGTCGAGAAAGAAGAAATAATTGGGGGCGCCTCAGCTATATCGGGCGGAGGGCTGTGGATTCCCTGTAACCCTGTTTCTAGGGCGGCTGGGATCCATGACTCGGAAGAAAAAGCCATGTTATACTTCGAACAAGCCGTTGGAGAGGTTGGTCCGGCTTCATCTATCGAGAAAAGGAAAGCCTACATCACCAATGGACCCAAGATGGTCGAATTTCTTCAACAACAAGGGTTCCAATTCCACTTTGCTAGAGGCTATCCTGACTATTACCCAGCCATGTCAGGCGCAATGGGCCAGGGCGGCGGTCGAACCATAGAAACTAAGCCTTTCAACGTCAATAAGCTCAAAGACTGGCAGTCCAAACTGCCCCCTACCCTAGTCCCTGTGGCTATCCATACCAACGACGTGCCTGTATTTGCACGAGCCACTTCTTCTTTGAGTGCTTTCTTTTATGCCTTTCGCAAAATTCTACCACTCGTCGCCAAAGCGCTCGCAGGCCAGAAGCTCGCCAGCATGGGACGAGGCTTGGTAGCGCAGCTGTTGTATCTAAACCTCAAGCATCAGGGTGGTGATATCCGCATCAGAACAAGCCTCTCCAGTCTCATCCAGAGTCCAGCGGGCGATGTACTGGGTGCCCAAGTCAGGTCGCCTGAAGGTTTGAGAAGCATTCGAGCAACGCGAGGAGTGGTCCTCGCTGCAGGGGGATTTGCACACAACCGTGAGATGCGACAGCGTTTCATGCCCCAGCCGGCCAGCACTGAGTGGACAAACTCACCCGCGGGAGACACAGGCGATGCTATTCAAGAAGGTATGCGCATCGGCGCAAAGACAGCATTACTGGATGATGCCTGGTGGGGGCCCACTGTGGTCGATCCCGTTAGTGGACAGAATTCTTTTGCCTTGATAGAACGGGCACAGCCGCATTCTTTTATTGTGGATTCAACCGGCAGTCGTTTCATGAACGAGGCCCAGAGTTACACCGACGCAGGCCACGATCAGTATGCTCGAAACCAGCAGGTCAAGGCTATTCCTGCCTGGCTTATCATTGATTCAAACCATCGCAATAAATATATGCTCGCAGGGCTGTTTCCACGGGTCAAACCCTCAAAAAAGGCTCTATCTGAAGGCAAGATTTTCCAGGCTGCATCTATCAAAGACTTGGCACGTCAGATCGGCGTAGATGCAGTAGGCCTATCTTCTACTACCGAACGCTTTAACAACATGTGCATCAAGGGGGTTGACGAGGACTTTGGAAGAGGCACTTGTGCTTATGACCAGTTCTTCGGTGATCCCACTTGCCGCCCTAATCCAAATCTAGGCCCTCTGAATAAAGCACCGTATTACGCGATAAGGATCTGGCCTGGGGACCTCGGGACAAAGGGAGGACTCGTGACTGACGAGTTCCAACGAGTACTCAATCAACAATTGCGGCCGATTTCTGGCCTCTTTGCCATTGGCAATACAGCAGCTAGCATTATGGGACGTACTTATCTAGGCGCCGGGTCAACTCTGGGACCGGCAATGACACATGGATATATTGTGGCTAGCTACCTAGCTGGCTTGAGCTCTTAGTTAATATTGTTAGAAAGTTACATCATGGGGGAGAGCGGATACCGGCTATAGCCACATCCAGGGTCGCGAGCCGAATTTTATATTTTTAGATTGTCTCACAAGATGCTACATTATATTTGCCGCACGAAACACCGTCGAGACATTACCCTGCCTCTGTCGTGACTTATGTGCTCATTCGTCCATTTGTTCCAATGCCTTCGCAAGCAGAACACAGGGAAGAAGTAAGGTGAGACAGCTTTCTTCTATCCTGTGACAAGGGCATGCTCCATCCCAGGCGAGTTCACCAACCCACTCCAGACCATCTCATAATGCACTACAAACACATTGCTATTGAAGAAGAAATAGGACACAAAGGTTGAGAGCAGAGCTTCGATCATGATCTTCATTATCTGGACAAGACAAATCATCCTATAACGATTTGTATCACCCACAAGACGCTATATGCTATAGTGCTGTGTCACAAAGGGCACAATCTAACCTCGAAGTTTTTTGCGACCTTCGATCACAACACTTTTAACTCAACATCACATTGAAGCCCTTAACCCTATTCTGCTCAAAGGGTTGGGGTAGCCAGGTGCCCTGTGGACTACATATCCTACCTGATAGTTATCCTAAAGTACTCTCAAGCATCGTTTGTCAGACCATATCGGCACGCCATAGAGTCAATACCAATATCCTCCTGACGTCTCCTAATCATCACTTTGATGGCCGGATCTGACATGAAGCTCATCGCATACGCCATAAGTTTGCGATTGAAAGGAGTTTCCTATCATACTTCAGCCGAAGATGGCAAGGCTGTCTTAACCTCATTTGCAGCGAAAAATCGACCTGGTCAAGGATGGAGCCCGTATCCAAAGCCCATATGACTAGGACTTGCTGCGACAAGCTGCGACAAGCTGAGTATTCCCGTCCTCGCCTGGAGACTCGCGGGTTCTCAAGAGGCGAGACCCGCCGTATTTTTCCAGCTCATTATAGTGGGCGGGTGTCCATAATTAACAGTTATCGAGCACGATCTTGGTGCGCTTCTAGATTACGTACCCGTCGGCCAGTTCGATGTTATCTGTGGCCTCTCGGCGAAAGGTTCCTATTTCGGTATTAGCATTGCGCCGGAATGATCCAGGAATGTTTAATATGTGCCCAAAAGTGATAGTTTCAGTCGTCGAGTCTCTTTAAGAACACCGTTCATCAGTGTCAGATTATACAGGGACGTTTTTTTCAAGACATCTTTTCTCAGTACTTGAATCGCTTCTTGACGGAAGGATCCAAGAGGTCGTCTGGATGCAAGGCTATATCGGTCATGGCTTGGAGTAGAAGGTCGGTTGTGGTATGGATAGCGACAAGGGAAAGAGTAATCTGTTTGGTGGCCGGATCATGGAGTGGGCCAAACTCCTTTCTGAAATATGTCCTGGATAGAAGACACGTCAGCTTGTCGAACAATGAGCCCATCAGCATATTTCTATTCCCACAGAGCAGAGGTTTCAGAAAGTCGCTGTTGGTTCACATCGCAGATAGCTACACAGAACCCTGCGTCCAGATAAGCCGTGGCAATGACTCAGGCGAAGACAAATTGGCCATGCTGAACAAGTTTTGGTGACGATGGGCAAAAGTCTGGCATAGTAGTAGAACAGTTAATTGCTGATTAGGGAGTCATGTCCCTTCTCAAAATAGGATTTGTAACGGATTGCACGAGCCCCGAAACACCGTGTTAGCGGCCAAGGTCTTTTCATTGTGGGCCATATCCTCACCGACTTTCATCTCCATGGAGCTAATCGTTTATCTATATGGGCAAAGAAGTTGAGAGTTTCCCTTCGTATGCGAACAAACCCCACATTCGATTGTGGTTGTTGAAAAAGCGGCAGACTCGGATAGCGAGGCAAAAGGATAAATCTGTGCCATGTATTGTAACTAAAACAACGCAGCCAGGCTTGGGAAGCTAAAGTCCTGACTCAAGCCTGGCCTTGCCACCGGTACAGCAGGCATGCCATATGTCACTGCTTCGATGAGGTGATCCATAGTACTTGGTTTGAAAATATGCTCGAAACTGCCGCAAATTCGGATTCCGCCCTTGAATGCCCAGCTTGACAATTCACAGGATTGGCTTTCTCCTATGAGCTGACCATTTGTTTGCGCTTGGCAGGTTAGGTGCATATCACTATTAGGATTTTATGTTTAATGAATTGCTAATATATATATACAGCAGATACAGAAATAAGCAATAGTTCGATAAGTCCTATTACTTATTATAATTATAGGTTAGCTAGCCTATGCATTTTTTATTTAGGACTCAAGCGCGGCGCTATTATATCAGGGGCTAACTTGTATGTACTTTTCCTTACTAACTTATATTTTAAGGAAAGTAATATTCTTATAATTAAATTAAGAAAAAAAGTTAGACATATATTTAACGAACTAATAGACTATATAGCTCCTATAAGGCTCATCTTAGTATATTATCTACTTATTATGATAACTTAGTAAAGAGTGCTACTTAGGTAGGTTTTTTGAAGGCCTTTAGGGCTCTCTAAGATAGCTCAGTGAGTTGCAGGTCGAAGAATGCGAGACATGATGTGCGTTTGTTGAACAGCCAATTAACCCAGGAGTCGAGAGGAGAGACGGCGGACGGTCGACGAGGAAAAGGAAGCGGAACTTCAAAGACGAGAAGTTGCAGAGGACAGGCTTCTCTTAATTCCTGAGTGGTCGACTTTGACATGGGAATTGAAAATGGTGATAAGCTGAGGTTGGTGTTGAGAGATGGAACAGTTCGGCTTTGGGAGAGAGAATTTCACCGAAGAACGCTTCTGCTGGCTAGCTATCAGTTTTTTCTGGGGGCCAGTCGGTACGTATCGTGCCGGAACTGCGAGGTACCTAAACCCTCACTAATTTCCAGAGACTAATAGAGTACCCGCTCTACAAGGCCACCGAGCGAGCCTCCGTTAGCTCGGGGCAGCTTTATCCCTCTTGGTCCCCGCCAACAAGGCCTTTGACCCACCAGATGCGACCCCTGCTAGTATATGTAGTACTGTTTTGGAAGGGTAGCCAACTAGTGTTGAAGCACCTATCACAGCTCAGAACACACTTTTGCGACCCATTCAACAGTCTGTTGGAGCATCCAGGGGAACATTGGGGGCCCGTTTATCTCCGCCCAAACATAAAAAAGTGAGCGCGTCAACAGTCAGATGACGGTACAGGAGAACAAGAAACCGCTATGTTCTGATCATCTCAGCCTCGAACGTTGACGTGATCCAATTCACATTTTATGGCAAGTCATGCTATTAACGACAAAGATGAAATTGTATTGGTATGTATATTACAATTATAAACCAGTATTGTCCGCAAACTCCTCGGCCTTCTGGATCCTCTATATGTTGAGCCCGGCCGCTTTATAGATATGCATCGTCAGCCAGCACGATTTGCTCCTTTTTGACACTCATGAGATGTTTTTGTTTTGAAATTCTGTTGTCATGAGCCCGTATATTTACGCAGCAGGCTTGCGAGCCACCATGAGGTACATGGGGGTGAAGAGATGATCCCGACCACCAGCGACCAGACAGTCAGCGGCGAGAGTCAGACTGTCAGCAGTCTTCTTGGCTCAGTCAGCGGGTGACCGTTGGACCAACTCAAGGTCGAATCAAATACATAAAGCAATGTGACTGATCATAGCAGAGGGTCTGCTACAATAATGTCTCAATTGTCACGCTCTCCCAATCTCTCTAATGCTGAAACCACCGCACTGCTTCTTGTTGGCTTACTTCTATTTCCTTTCCAGATTACCTAGTCCTTGGGACTTTGTAATGGCCTTTAAAGCCCTTAGTTCTGGTTTCATCAAGGTTCTCAAATGGGATGAGGGTAGTTTGTAATGCGGTATTTGGCGGCGCTCGGCAGTAGCGTTAAATAAACTCATTTGATTGGAATAAGAGAAGACTGCAAGGCTTGAGTGCCTTCGAAGGCCCTGGTGCGTGTATTATGAGTCGATGATTTTACAACTGCCGAGTATGCAGCTAGGTTACCACTGCGTGTTCCGGAAACCTGATTCTTCGATGGAAGGCAGATAGCCTACTCTTAGATGCCGATCGAGTATCATCCTTGCAGACCGCTTGTGAAGAGCTCAAAGCGCCCTCGATAGACGCAGGATTTCCTGGAAGCTAATGATTGGGTATAGTTCAGACGGAGTGGTGAGACAAATGTATGATTTATTAGACATCGATTCTGCTCATCCTATATATATATATATATATCTCAGCTGTTGCCATCTGTCAAGAGCTGGCCAATATCAAGGAAGCTGGGACGGTGATGTCGAATTTGCCGCTAACTATAGACATCCAGGAGTCTGTCAACCGATGATTCTCCGTAAACGAACTTAGACTCCCCAACAACACAGAACTACAGCCTCAAATAGCCCTACCACTGCGACCATATCTGCAACGTGGACAATCCAATCGCGTGCTTTTCTATACGAGAAGGATCGACATCGGTCACGTGTTTGCCAAGTTCGTATACGAGATCCCCCTCTTTGCTCGATTTCGTCTCCCGAGGGGCCTCTGTGCGAGGTTGATAAGGGACATACATTCTTGTGGAAGCGAAATTTAACAAAAGGATCGAGATATGGATCCGTATTCAATCGCGGGTAGCTCGACTATTCTGAAATCATCCTGCCATGAGGTATTTGTATCCGGCTGGATCGTCGTGACTCCAAACTAATATGCAGTAGGTTATCTCATTCACTTCAAGTCTTCTCCGTGATCACGTCCCAGATGGTGACATGACAATCTCAAACACAGGCCATGATCTGAATCGTATCTGTCACGTCCTGGATGAGATCGTCCTCACCTGGCGGACCCATTCGTCCATTCTGATGACGCACCCGTCTGCCAGTTTCGGGATGTGGACTTGTGTGCAGAGTAACCTGGACAACGTCAGAGTCACGCTCCAGCGGCTAAGGCAAGAGCTGGAGCCTGTGGTCAAGAGCGGACAGAAGCGCACGTTGTTCAAGGTCTATGCCA